GAAATTGCTTCTCCAGATTGGGCTGCACCTTCCTACCAAGCAGCCCTTCTTAGGTAGGTCTCAGTGTTGTGCTTTCTTTTGTGAGCTTTTGGAAGAGCTGCAGTAGTTTTTCCCTGTTGATTACAGAGAGCCCAGCCAACATCACAAACACGTCCCTCAGACTACAGTTATGTGATTAAAGGCTTCATGTACTGTCAGCAGCTCATAGTAATATCACTCATCTCTTCCTTGTAGGTTCCCACAGCATGAACCTGACAGGAGACTGATCTATGTGGCTTTAACATCAGGTGGTTTTTAAGCTGGATCAGTTCCCTGATCCACTTTGCAGTACAACAAATTCCTTTGACAAAACCAAACGGGAAGGACAAAAGCAGGAACAAGAGAAAAAGGAAGGGAAAATAAAAGGGGCAGGTACACAGTAATCTGGCATCACCACTGACTAAATTCTGGTCATAGAATCCTTACAGAAATCATGTTACTGTGCCCTAGACAGAATTACATATTAATACTGCTGACAGAGAGTTGTGGAAAGCTGCTTGCACCCTTGGCCTCAGAAGACTTATGCTTGATAAATCCTCACTCAAGAGAGCTACTGAGCAGCCATCCTTTCTCAACATGACAGTGGTTAAATACATCAATAAATGAGAAATATTGCATGAGCTCTGGACAACACAGGCACGACTGCCATTAATAACATAAGCCATCTAATTGGGAACACCAAAAAAAGTTTAAGAACACCCATGTTAAGGGAGGAAAAGAGGGAATTTACAATCCAGGCACAATTTTGAGGCTCAGTGCAAAAACTACTGGGGAAACTTTGTGGCCTCCATCCTGCACTCAGCAGCTTAGAGCATTGTAATCAGTTTACTTACTTCAAGAATTAACGTGCAGTGGGGCACACAAGGAAATAGACTTCTGAAGAAAGACCAGCAGTAAAAAGATTTATCAGAATGACGATGTTCAAGGTAAAGCAAACAAGTGATGCAGGCTGTGACTCCACACGCTGTGCTGGTGGCTTCCTAAAGGCAGGACTGCAAGTTCTCTGCCTCAGACTAAACAGTGCACAAGGACACATTTCAACATGAGCTGCCTATTGCCTCAGTAGAAAGATTAAACTGGTGGAGGCACTTTATGCCACTTGCAACCCCCCCTGCTTAAAGCTTAGATCGCTCATCTAATTTTGTTGCCTTTCTTTTCACACCTATTAACAGATCTTTCAGAGAAGGTTTTAAACATTGCTTTCGGTGGGAATTTTGCCTTCCAAAGCACACTGGACTAGGTGTATAGGTGCTATGAGGATGCTGCGTACAGTACAGTAAGGAAAAGGTGACCAAAAAAAAAAAAAAAGCATAATCTTTTTTTCACACAGAGGATGGTGACTCCTTGTTGCCCAAGGAGGCTGTGGATGCCCCATCCCTGGAAGCATTCAAGGCCAGGCTGGATGTGGCTCTGGGCAGCCTGGTCTGGTGGTTGGTGACCCTGCACATAGCAGGGGGTTGGAACTGGATGATCACTGTGGTCCTTTTCAACCCAGGCCATTCTATGATTCTATGATAAGTGAGAAATTCAGAACAGGAAAACACAAACTGAGCACCACGAAGAAAATCTTCCAACTTGATTCTCACTTTTTGCATTTAAATGCATGATTAAGAACGCAGCCAGCTATTAGTTGTAGAAACTACCCAATTCACAAACCTAAATACCACCTTATCTGAGAAACTGTCATTTCACAGATCACTTACTTTCAATGTGCACAGCTTTTTAGCACTTACTTATTCCAAAAATTTATGAATAATTTCTAACAACAAATCCATCTGAAAACTTTGCAATTTGGCATCAAACAAAGGAAGAAGCCAAGTTTCTCAGATAAATTAGTTTTAATGAATTATTCACCAAAGTTTGCTGTACAGGGAAGCAGAGAACAATTCTACCTTGACAGACAGAAGTAGAATGATGATCTAACAGATATTTTCCCATCATTTGTTTCTACAAAATAAAAGGATAGAAACCTCCACGTGCACCATCCTTCTCTACCTTTAACACCAATAGGACCTAAAGCAGATTCAACATACAATAAAATATTTACTGACACAATACTGCATCACGTATTTTTACTGCTTCTAGTGCAAAAACAACAACAAAAGGAATCCTTATAAACGTGAAGGCCAATTACAACAAAACGTCTCTAAAGTCTCTTTTAAAGTGCTTGTCAGGGACGGGTTTGCCTTCAGAGCATTCCTCCTAGCAGCTCTACCCCAGGGCCCATTCAAAGCCAATCAATCACTCTGTACCCTCATCTTCACCGCTTCCTCTTAAGCAATAGCTGGAAATGGCCCCATCTGCTCTAAAAAAAATTAAAGAGCAGCAGCTGGCAATCAGTCCTCTCTCCCAGCCTGTGAGACTTAGGGATATTGTCCTGAGCAACTCAGTCAAAATTAATTATAACCTAGAAGGAATTAATTAGAGGCTATCTTTATTTCATCTCTTTTGTTGTGCAGACAATTGTTTAGCTATTCCTCACATGACTTGGTAATTATAGTAAGATGAAACCGTTTGAGATGAGATGTCCTGTGATTTAGGCTTACTAAAGTTGTGGAGGTGGGGGAAAAAATACCCATTGTTAAATCTAGAGCAGAGCTACACATGCAAAAAGATTTGTCAGTTTCTGTTATCACTCTCTAGCATCAGAAAAGTTACTTCACAACATGTTTGTATTTCTCATGTGAGTTCACTGAAACAGGTGCTTGTACAGCTGGAAGAACACAGGCCTTAAATCAAAGAAACCTCCTGAAATGTAGGAATCAGTATTTGTATCTTGCTCTATGGGATTTCTTCCAGGCACTTTAATATCACTCCAGATGAAGGGGCTCTAACCAGCACCTCCACAGCATCTTATGAGGGCAGGCCTGTGCCTAAAAGCAGCACAGATGCTTCCCAGACTGGTGGATTGTGGGGACAGCTAAAAGGAAAGGGTCTCATCAGGACTGAAAAGCAGTGGTGGAGTTCTCTATCTGGTTCGTAACCAGCACTCTTTCTACTAACTTTTTTTGATCCTATTCTAGGGATAAGATTCTCAAATGTAATAATACAAAGAACTTTTGGGAACAGCAAGAAAAAAAAAATTGTAATTTGGTGAAGAGAAAACCCACCCGTGTAGTTGTCATCTGTTGTAGTGACTTCTCTCTATAAACACAGAAAAACTGAATTCTGCTAAAATAAGAATCTCTTCCCTATGGCTCTGTGGTAGGCTAAACAGAAGATGACACTCCCAATAGACACAACTGCTTCACACTTCCAGGGGTAATAAAAGAAATATCCACTGTTGTAACTGGCAAATGCAGGCTTGACACTCCTGGGAATTAAGCAAAGCTAAGCCTATAGCACAAAAGTGAAGGTGAAGCTGAATGCTTAATTTACGTGGTGCCTGCTACTAGGAAGATCCAGAGGCCCTAGGTCACAAAGAAACTATTTTTAGAGAATGAATTCCTATGAAATTATCATGAGTTTCAGATGTATAATACATGAGGGGCAGGAAGGTCTGGGTTCAATCTGGCTTTTCTTGCAGCGAGAGCTTCCTGACAGAGCTTTTACATCACCAGTCATATGGCAACCTCAAGTGAAGGAAGGAAACAACAAAGAGAATTGGTTCTTCTAGGGAGTGCCAGACTTAACTTAAACACAGGAGCTATATGCTTGGAAATCAGAAATCAGCTTGTTTTCTGGACATGTTACCAGAGCAGAGCCATGCCAGTGGTTGCCTTCCAAAGCATTCCAAGTTAAAGTCAATTATCTGCACCAGTGCAGCTCTCTTTGCTGCGACACTGCTGATTTTCCCATGCCATCAATTATCAGCAGAACTGGAAAAACTTGATTAATTAAAAACAAAACAAAACCCAAACATATGTGTTTTTTAACACATATGTGTTTCTTATCTTCCCAATACGTAACTGGTTTAATGACTAGCAACTTCAGTCTAAATTCAAGCTGGCCACAAAAGGTTCTCCATAAATTAGCAAAAAAATTTTTAAGTGTGTATCCAAAATCCTCAGTATTTCACACACTGCTGTTCAAAGGTATATTTCTTATTTTAACCTAAATGGCCTAAGACATACAATTAACAGTTCCTGTTGCACGAGAAGGGTATTTAAATACTATGTGTCCCAAACAGCCACATGATAAAAAACATTTCCTGTGTTTAATTAGAAAACAGATGAGATCAGTTTATTTAAAATAGTACTCAAAGTAAGCAATTAAGTGCTTCACTATATAGGAGCATGTGCTGCCCTCTCATTACACGTACAGTTTCTAGCTTTCTAGTGCCAGACAGGAGCTTGTAGGCATTGCTTTAATAAAAATATGCTATTTCAGAATATTGTGATGTATTTCTGCTGCCTCTGGGGAACTTAGGGTAATACAGCCTATTATCTGGCCTTATAACATAGAACTAAGTGTGCAATTAATTGCCAATCTGTAGTGGATTATAGGAACATTCCAGATGGATGGGGATTTATCACAGTATTTTTCAGCAGCAGCTACTGCCATTTCCTACATCTCAGACACTGCGCTTACAGGAATACATTTCTTTCTCAGGTTCATCTTCTGAGCGAGAATTTCCATTTCCTTTTGACATCAGAGACAACAGCTCAAGATGTATCACAAAGCACCAGCGAGATTACACAATATTGCTACAGCACACATTTCTTTGTGATCAGACACACAATAGGACGTGTGGGCTGAGCGCTCCCTCAAGAAATGAAAATGCAATCAATTGACTCAGTTAATATTTTGCTCTGTGGGAAAAACTCCATCAGCCAATCTGGAATTTCATTAATCTGTGGCACTGCATGAACTGCTGCAGCCTAAGAACAGGAAGCCTGCTTTGTGCTTTATTCCCCCTGTGCCAACACTCCTTAGCAATTTGGGAGCTGGGGGATGATGTTAACCTCTGCAGCATTCCCCTCCAGTGCTGCTGAGGTTAGATTAAAGCTGGGCTGACATACCTGGAGTTGTATTACAGGTGGCTGTGCTCCTATGGGAGGGAAGCTCTCCTGGATACTGAACCCAGCCAACAGCCCTTGGCAGCACATCACCAACTGGAGCAGGGGTTTTCAGCACACTGCTCTCTCAGGAACTGTTCTGTAAGACATTCAAATACAACGTTATTGTTCACAAACAAGTTTACGTGGTTCTCTTTCTACTATAGGGGTAAGTATTGCTGTTCCTTAGACCACCTAGGTTGGGGTGAATAAAAGATCGCTTTCAAATAGCACGTGTCATATACCTGCTATATGCTATGTTCTCAAGACTTCCATCTTCTTCACTCACTATAAATACACAAGTAGGCTACTAGAACATAAAGACAAGAGCTGCATTCTTGATGTTGGGCTAGGTATACAGTTCCCTAACAATGAATAGCTTTCTGCTTTTTCCGCACACTCAGCAAGTATCAGAATTCTTGTAAAAGCTTATAAATGCATATTTGGATAGACCACAGCTTAGCTCAGTAACCTAATACTCATGTGAACTGCACGCTCTGCTTTAATAATTTTCAGTTTAATGCAATTTAAGATGTGCATCTGACTAAAAAGTAAAACATCTGATTCTTACAGTTACACCTCAACCTTCTGCTGACTTCCCTCCCTTCGGAGCTTGCCACTCATTTATTTTTAGATGGAGAGCCATATCCCACTCCCCACCCCCTCCTTAAGCTTCCATCAACAGACCCACATGTACTCACTGATCTCCAAATTGCTTTTGCCATGTGTTAGCATTAATAATTAATGAAACCAGCTGATGGTTCCAAGTGACCTATTCTCCTTTGAGGGCAGAGATGAGCCAGAGAGAAGAGAGGATTCATTTCTGAACCTCCAATTTCAGTATCGAAGCTCAAAATCAAAACACCATCAGCAAAATAAATGTATTTATCTCAAGAGATCAGTTTGTTCTGAGAGATGGCCAGAACTGCCCCTCAGCCTGAAAAGCAGATACTGCCATGCTCAGGGCTTCTTACACATAGAATATTACACTTTCCTTCAGTGTGTGACATTTCTCAGGACTTTCTTGACATTTAAGTACCTTTCAGGCATTTAATAATAATCAGGAAGAGAAATAGAGTGGGAAAGGGAAACAGAATGAAGGATTAAAGGAAATGAATATGTATAGGGCATAAAAAAGAATGAGATGCTGGTGCACAATGGGAAACCACAGAGCAGAGTGGGAGGGCTTGTGTTCATTAAGTGTTGATACAATGGATTTAAACAAAATTGAATAAAATCCAATTTAAATGCTAGAATAAAAAGCCTTGAATGATCAGCTAGGGAATAGCATGGCTTTCTGCCTCTCAGAGGTCAGATCACTGGTTGACCAACAACAGCTGCAGATGGTCTGACAGCAGACGCCTGCAGGAATTAAAAAATTACAGGGTTAGAGCAAATCTATTGCTTCTTTTTAACCCCATTCTTTGCTTCCATTCTTCTTTTTCTTGCAAAAGAATTACTCTGTAGTACACACACAAAAATACACCTATGATGGCTGTGATGCCAGAGCTGCTATCTTACTAATTTTTATCACGTTTCAGATTATGTTTGCTTCTATATGTGTGAGCCTAAGAGAGTTCTATGCAATTTTAAACAAATAATTGATTCTTGAGCAATCAGACAGCAAATTCTTCCACTGAGAAAGAGCAAATAAAAAAATACACTACAGCTCATAATTTTCTTCCAAGTCATGAGAAGAGCTTTCCCAGAGATAGCACTGCAGAGCTTATTAGCAGCCTCCTGTTAATGTAGACTCCGTGCTTAAAGATTATGTAGGGATGACTAGCTCATGTTACATTTATTTCCTCTAAACTCACCCTGGGCTACATGAAGAGCAGAATCAGTGACCATATGGGGGAACCTTCACACAATGCCACAAACAAAATCCAGAGATTGAACAATTTCTGTGCAGCCACGCCATGTCACATGCAGCTGTACCACAAGAAACAAAGACAAACCCAAACATGCAACAGTCGTGTCTTCTGTAAATAAAGAATAAAGAATAACGTGCCCTGGGATGTGAAAAGCATGGACGCGTCCAATGTGCGATAAGCAAATCAGAGATGGAAAAGTTGGTGTTTGGAAAGATAAATTGTGTACTTTTTTGCTTTTTTTTCAGTTGTGTCCTTACTTTAGTCAAAGCAAAAAATGTGCTGTTCCCCATTCTCCAAGTCAGCCTTAACAGCTACAAGAGCTTTCTTAGGAGTCATCCAAGTGCCACATTTTTCAGCAAATGACTCACTTTTTTAATCCCCTGTGTGTAGGGCACAGAAAACACGTGCGTTTATATTGTTTCTGGTTGGCTGTGCAGATAGAAATTGTACTGCTGTGACTTCATCCTCACCAAGGGATTTGCTGTTACAGCAGGCTGATCATCATGTTTTAGTCATGACAAAAGGGAAAACCTGTGCGTGGCTACTTAAGGCAATCACTGAACCACTTTTAGTAGTGTGTCATGATATTGATTTGCTATTAACAGCGCTTGGCTTTCAATAATGCTTATGGCACTCTCATCCTACCACGAGACACGTGAAGCATTTCATAGTCAGGCTGTAAGCGTGCTTTCTTTAGGATTGTGTGCTTATTTTAGGATTCAAAGATTAGCCTCTAACAGATAGATCTCTTTAGGACAGTACAGATGAAGCGTGCTTACCGGAGGTTTTCCTGCATTCTGTCTTCATGGAGAACAGTTAACCTACATTTTGATTTTCCACTCCGAAAGATGGGCTGGAAACTCCAGCTGTCAGATTAAACACTTGGAGCATCCCTGCATTAGTTAAAGGAACAGCTTGGTGGTCTCTCATGCTGTTCCCAGCTTAATCTGAGATTGTTATGCCATAATACAATGATGCTTTTCTATACTGATTCACAGTGTCTTTTATTCTCCAACACCAGCATACATTAGGAATTGTATTGTAAGCAAAAGACAAACATTTCATCTGCACACTTGGAGGTGTCTACCACCCACTGCCCAGAGCTGGAGGTATCCGTGTGCTTTTTCTTTGTAGATTTGCCTTCAAGACCCCCATTTTGCTTGCCCATCACATTGTTACTGGAAGGGGACAGCAACTCTTTCCCACCCAAGATGAAGGAAGGGAAAGAAATAGCCTCAAAAATCAGCCTTGTTGTCATGGAAACCAGCACAAGGATTTGGGAGGCCAAACTGGATGCATTTATAAATCAGAGATGAAGAAAATCCAACCCATTTATAACAATACCTTCAGTGGGAAACATCTTTAACTACAGGAAGTCAGGTCAACAACAAACTCAATAAAAGCTACAGAAAAAGAAGCAGGTGAGTAATTATTTTCTCTAAATGAACACAACGGCACAATCAGAACCAGTGGTACCCATGTTTGACAGAGAGGCAGAGACAGCAGTAGCCATAGAAACAGTTTACTCTTCCTAAGTGGCATAAGGCGTTGTGTAAGTTGGTTCTGGTGATGGCCTCACAATTGCAGTGGCCACCCATTAGCTGCTCCCAAACACATCCAGTGCTTCACCTTCTTCCCTACCCCCATCCTCCTGAATCTCCTCTTGCCCACGTCAGATGCCAGCATCTCTGGCAAAGCTTTTGGTTTGTGCTCTGATCTGTGACAAACCTCTTGTTAAGTGTTGGAAATCACTGCTTTAAACTGCAACTTGAGCCCCACCAGGGGACACGTGCACTGCCAGCCAGTTCCAGCAGGCAGGTGACTTACACAGCAGCCTTCAAAGCTATCACAGCTCCGTTATGACCTTGATCTCTTGATATGGTACCTTACTCAGTATAAGTGCACGTTATCCTCCCGAGTGTGTAATGCATAATAGGGCCCAAGCTGTGAAAAGCCAATCTGATCTTCAAGACTGCTCATTGTATACTATGGAGAACGGCAGGATTTATGGTTTAAGTCCATTTGTTGTTAATGACAGTTTCACCCTAATAGAGCAGTACAACTGGAAAACAGAATGTAGAAACAGCTGGGAAGTTCTGGAAAGCATCTGTGAGAGTCAGATCTGCCACACTCATTTTGTGGGGTTACTGGACTGGTTACACAGGGAATAAAGACATAAGATGAAGCAACTTACTGCCCTACATCCCTCCCTGTGGCTCTGGTAGTCAGGACAGCTGGACCACATAGGAAACTGATCTAGCAAGAACTGCTTTGGCAAGGATTGCACTGGGCAACAATCATCCATACGATCAAGGGTACTTCTTTGCTCAGGGCAAAATATGCCAAGGACTTGGAACTCCCAGCCACACTCACATAACCTGGACAGAAATATGGAAAGAAATCAAAAGGTTCATCTACATCAAAAAGTAAACTATATGCAAAAGAAGAAAAATAAGAAGTTAAATTCAGCCCATCTGGTAGGGATGAAGCTAGTCATGTGGGAAAAGAAGTGACACGTAACAATTAAAGCAATGAAATACTAGCTGCACAAACACCCTAAAACTGCAAGTTTATTAGATTAGTTCATAGCTTTTAAAATCACACGAGCCCTGATCATGTCTGCATCACTTCTTTTCAAAACCTCAGAGTTCACCATACAGCAGATGACAAAACACTGGTTTCTGGTTGCACGGTGGGTGTAAATACTGCACAGTGCCAAGAAACACAGCTGTCCTGCTGAAAAAGACTTCCTTCACCAGTAACTACAAAACTAAGATGTTTGTAAGGATTTTTCTCCCACTGTTTGGAGAAAAAGAGTCAGTGTGTCTTACAGAGGTGAACAAGGGTGAGAATGGGTTCAGGAATGTTACAGAGATTTTCCCAGCTCCTACTCAAACACTTGTTTCCCAAATACAATGCTCTACATTTGTTTGATTTCTTTACTGCATTTCCACCTTATTGTCCTTGCTGGTGTTAACGCTTCCAGGCTTTTGGTCCAGCAGACCAAACAGTCTGACCACAAGAACACAATAGTGACAGCATGCTGTGAGACCATCTAAATTCATACACAGCTCCAAAAATCTGGGCCACGGTGCTACTACTATGAAAAGCATTGCCCACATTCAAATGCAATAGATGACATGCAGGCTGTGCTCTGAGGAGCTGAGACCTGAGATCCTCTGCTTTTCATCCTGCAGTACAGAAACAGGCAAAGTTCTGAAAAACTTTCTTATTAGAACAAACCCTGTGAACAAAGGCACAGATTGCATATTTCTTGGAGAAGGTTCCCTTGTTAAAGGGATTTGCCTTGTTAAATTTGTCTAGTTTATATGAAGATTACAGCAGATGGTTTCTCAGAGTAAAAGATCTCATCCTCTAACTGGGGCCATAAGGCCTGCTATGAGAAAAATTCTAAGTACCACATACCAAACTATATTAAAAGCATGTTAAAATGGCCAGTGTTAGTATTCCAAAACTAGAAAGTGGCAGAGTTCAGGACAGCTTGTCAGCTTGTTTTATCACTGGAGATGGACCCAGGAAATGTGAAGGCATTTGTTTTTGTGTTTAAGGCAAAGGAGGCTACATAAAATCACCTTTACTGCCATTTACATTTTACATTATATCTAATTAGTAGAAGACACAGGAAGCGTCCACTGATACAAGTGAGATTTACCCCAGGATAATGAAAAACAGTCTATCTCACGTGATAGAACTGTGATAGAAACTTCCAACGCCTCACATAAACGAAAGGAAAAGAACCAAAACAACTATAAAATTCCACCCTCAAATAGGAAAGCATCCATGGTCAGTATAATGGAAACACGTTTCAAAAGGAGCTTCTCTCCACAGCCAGCACTCATCATTTTTCCTCATTTTCTCCCCATTACTTAATTCTTTAACAACAGGTAAAAAACTAAAATGAAAAATTGTTCGTAATAAGCATTTCCTTCTCACAGCAGCAGCAAAAGGATAACACGACGCTGAGCAACAGAGACTGGCTGAAGTCAGCACAGAACAGAACCAGGCTGGAGCACTGCAGTTTTCCTGTAGACACAGAGGCTTGGTGACAACGGTTAATAAGCTGTGCAGGAAGCTTTTATCCCAGCTGTAAGTACATTTTTTTAGGATGCTGCATATTATTATCTTTACTCATGATCAGATCAAACTCTTCACTGCATCTTTTTTTTTTTTTTTTTTTTTTTTTTTGCCTTTTATAGAAGGCAGTTGGTGACTACAGGCAGAGGTTTTGCAAAGGGAAGTAGGAAGACTTGCAAAACACAGAACTTCCTTTGTGAGTGCCTAAGGGTGTAGTTCTGACTAGTCAGGCTCTTTCTTTTAGCCATATATGGCAATCTCATTAAAAACAGAAGGCAAACCAGGTAAGCAGGGGCTGTGACAGGAGCCAATTAAATGTAGAGCTGAATAATATATGTGTAAAAGGGCATCAGTGTGTAGGTTTAAGATGATACCTTTTAAAGTCAGTTTTGCACTATAGGATGACCAGCGGGCTAAGCCTACAACCAGTCTGATCAAGTATTAACATTTCTGCAGGATTTCACATACAGTTACTGTGCAAAGTTTGCAAAAAACAAACAAACAAACATGCAAAACAACTTTCCGATCAAAACAGTCAACACAGAGTCTAATAGAATTTACAAGAAGTACAATTTTGTGTTCAGTAGACCCTAAAACACGAACAAGGTTTTTGCAATCTAACTTCACTGTTTTTTCAGCTCAATGCCAAAAGCAATGTAAGGTTCTGCAATATATGGTGCTTAAAATGCTGAGGAATAATTGGAAAATTCAGTGAATGGAACGTGTTTCCTTCATGTTACTTAAAAAGCAGTTAGAAGTTAGAATCGGGGGACTAGAAAAGAGTTTTGAAACCCAGTGTTTTTTGGGGAAATATAGTCAATGTTTGTCTACATTTCAGGTTGTGATCTTGTAGTGCTTTCCCTAAACAAAAGGTGGGATTATTAGAATTGCTGGAATGAAGGCTATCTAGGTAGGCCACAGTCTTGGCAATCGAGTAAAACCAAAACAACTCAATTTCATACCAGTCTGAAATAAACACTTTTAAAAATTGTTAAATATAAGAGTTTGGGACTTTGAGAGTGTGCTTTTTGCATTCTATAACCAAACTCACACCACTTTCTAGTTCACAAACTGGCCGCAGAGATTTACAGAGCTCTGTTTTGTCTCCTTTCCTCCACTTTTCAACACAGCAGTAAATTCCTGAATGTCCTTAAAAGGCCTCTTGGTGTATTCTCTCTTTCTTACTGGTGGAAACAAAGTGACTTGCAAGAGTTCAGCATCTAAAAACACACTTGAGGAAGTGATTAGTCATTTATGGAGCGTTGCAAACGATTGCACTTATAAACCAGGTTTCTAGCTTGATTTCATACACTCTTGATGCAAAAAGGTTGTGAAAAGGTGTTAGTCTGCGACCTGCAAGCTCTCCCACAATAGAGCATAATGCGTGTGATTTACTGTTAGTATCTTGTGGCTTTAAGAATACATGTGCACTGTAGATGAGCCCAGAACTACCAGGCAAGTGACCAAACGCCATCTAGCAGCTGCAGGAAGCTCTTTGCTGACTGACAGGGCAAATAAACCGAGTCACCTCTATTACACACAGGCAAGACCCGAATAAAAAGGGCAAAATGTGGTTGTAAAAAGCAGCTGCTTGGAGGTGAGGGAGGCCAGATGTCCTTTAGGAGCCACAATAGTTAAAGAGAGGTCGTGAAATCACCACGTTTGTGCAGACAACGCCGGTGCTGCTGGGCAGCCTTGGTGCAAGGTCAGCTGAAGCAGAATCTCTAATCCTGCATTTCCAGAGCGAGGCAATACCACATAATGCTACAGTATGAAGTGCAGCCTGAAGAACAAGAAACAACACAATCGCATCTATGTCCACAGAAATGCCGTCTCTTTAGGCACCAATTTAGGCAGACCCAGGTTGAGAGGCGCACCGCCAACGAGGAGGACGAGAAAAGAGATTAAAACAATTTATGACCAGAGCTTTTGTTTCTACGTACGTGCAGTCAATCAACGTCAGGATCTCGACACATCCACAGCCCAGCCGAAGGGCTCGGAGCGAGCTGCAGGTACCCTTACCGCACATCGCCACCGCGTGGCTGCGAGGCGGCAGCCGCCGTGCCCACAGGGGAGGAGCCGCCGTGCTGAGGGGCGGCCCCGCTCGGCGCCATTCCCGCGCGCCGCCACAACGCGCTGCTCGGCGGGCGCCCGTCGCTGAGCGGGGCTGTGTGGAAAGGTGCGGGGAGCGGCGGGCGGTCGGGCGGGGTGCGAGGGGACGCCGCGGGGCTGCTGTGGGTTGGGTAGGAGGACGGATTCGGCGTAATGCTATTAAACAGCGTGGAAGTAGCAGCCCTGAACAGAAAGCGAAGTGCCGGAAGTGGTGTGGAAATGGAAAGCGAACCACGAAAAGGGGCGGGTGGTGCAGTTTCTCTTCCGTGTGCGGCTGTGCCCGCAAGTCGGGTGCGCGGAAGGCTGCGTGCTGCAGCGTAGTGCAGCTCGGGATCCCGGGCTGCTCTGAAACCTCGTGCGTGTGGCCCAGCCAAACCCCCACGCGTTAATTTGGTCCCTGTAATGCGGGTGAAGCCTGAAACGCTGAGAGAGGTTATAAATGTAGCGTCAGACTTTTAAACAAAACACACGAAGGTACCAAAGGTGCTGGGCGCGCTTTTATGCTGCGAGCGGCAGCTCCGCGCTGCGTGCCGTGTGGTGGTGGTGTGTCTCCAGTCTCACTCTGTTCATTCCCCTTGTTTCCTCACGGATTTCTGAGTCGACTGATGAGGAAGAACTTCTTCAGAGCGATGGTGCTGTAGTGCCGCGTAATATTGGCAGGCGCGGCTTCGGTCTGTTGATGCATCAGAAAGATGCAGCGTCATCTGGCATAAACAATCCATAATTAGGCTGTTACCTTCGCCTTACTGATGTATTCCAGCTGCCAGACTCACGGTCACTTTGTGCAGCTAATTTAATCATTAAATCATACTGGTTTTTCCATTTGATAAGACCTCGATGACGTTTGAGTTGGTAGACAGGGTGGTCTAAGCAGAGAGCTGACTGTCCTTTTTTAAGTCACAGTTACTGCTACGCAGTTAGCAGTAGTTTCACGTCAAACTCGTTGATTTGCTCCTCTGGTTAAACTTGCACTGGTATGTCAGGCTGCTCTGTATGTCTCTTGGGACTGTTGTGATACCGTTCTGTGTTTGTGTTTATTTTCCTTTCCCTTTGCTTCAGGTTGAAAAGATGGGAAATGCAGAAAGCAATGCCTATCGGAACCACCTTTCCAGGTTTCTTCCTGAGGAGCAGTCTGATGTTGATGGCGTATTTGATATCTTATCAGGATCAAGCGGCTCAGCAGCAGCCAAAAATGGAAAAGCTATGAAGAAAACTGTGACTCTGGAAGCACTGAAGGCAAGAAAATAAATTACTGTTGATATATCTGGAACAGTGTATTGAATGCAGTTCTAGAAAGGAATTAAAGACATGGCAGTAGTTATTTTTAAGGGTACTTGTCTTAATTTAATAATTAATATTTTGGGGTAGGACATGTATTTAATATTTTCTTACAGTTTAACCTGAGGAATGACTTCTCAGTTGGTATTTCTCTCCTGAATCACACTGTTGCATCAATTTGCAGCTTTCCTGATCCTGAGATATGCTGGGAGGTATGAAAATACTTTTGCAGAATCTAGAAAAGTGGGAGGAATGCTCTTCCCCCAGGAGGCTGGATGTGTAATTTATTTATGGATTTTCTCAAGAAAAGCTTCTTGAGAAGCTTGAAAAGTTTGTTTTTGACTGTATCTTTCTCCCTCAATTGCATCGCTATCTAATGTTCTCACTTGCATCAGGAGAGAATTCAATTTTGCTTGATTAAGCTGTAGCTCCCTATTTTATCTAATTAGTATATATTATGCTCTCTGATTAACTTCGCATTCATTTTCTAATCAAGAAAGAAGTAGAAAATGATTCGTTGTAATATTTCATAACTTCAGTTAGATAGGAATCTAACTGAGTGGCCAAATGAATGTAGTATTAAAGTGCATTGGAACATATGCTACACAATTAATGGAATCAATTTAGAACCACACGAGAGAAACAGGATATTTTAAGGTATTTAACAATGCATCTGCATACAGACCAGCTTCAACTTCCTTCCAGCCTGGCTGTTTATCAGCTCTCACCATTTTGGAAGCAGTGTTGCTGCTGCCCAGTCTTTCAGTTCTAATCCCTCCTTCCCTGAATCTGGTCCTTGGTGACCTGGAGGAAGTTCTCTTTCTAGCTTTGCCCTTCTCTTGATGGGATGTTTGGTGAACCTTTGCCTACTCCCTTCCCTTTTTCTTTTGTTTGCCAACTTAAATCTTCGGAGAGACTGCGTGTAGGTGCCTAATTCCTCAGTACAGGGGTGATTGCAGTGGTGTGCCTGCATTGTAGGCTCCTGAGCTTGAGTGATACGTGGCATATTTAGTCTAGCAAGTCTGATAACATTGGCTGGGCCCCACTTACAAACTCAGGTGAATTCAGCTTTAGTAGAAAGAAGCTGCGTGGCTTCTGGACCAAAGCAGGCTGCACTGCACAGTTGGAAAGCAGAAAAACTAGGTATCTCTAGATAATTACTTGAAGCCCTTTACAACAGGAACTCTAAGGTGTCAGAGATGTGTGTCTGTTAGATGTTTTCTAAAGCTTCCCTTTTTACCATTCTACTTTTCTTCACCTGCCCTGTTCCCCTTGAGTCTGCTCTTGGAATAACTGTAAGCATAACAAAATAGTGCAGCTAAGTGGTGGTTGGAAAGGATATGGAGTGGGTGGGTAATACTGCAGTGTGTTCAGTGTCATGTTTTTAATGTTGTTCCCTGCTGCTTGTGTTACTTCAGGCTCATGCAGTGCTGCTAGAAAGCCTCCTGAAGGCAGCTGTACCCCCTGTGACCGTCCCTCCCTCTACATGAAGCTTTCTAATGTGTGTGACTGTGGCTTTACTAATTCTGCTTCTGCTGAAATCAATGGGAGTTGTACCACTGACGTCAGCAGAAGGAGGGTAGAGTTCAGCACATTAGATCTCACCCTATAGGCACAGCAGCAGCCATTAACATCAAATAGGAACATCCCTGGTGGCTTTGATAGGGGTGGTATTGAGCCAGCAATAGATGGATAATAGCAGCTCTGCTGAATTGATCAGCAGTGCTTTTATGGAGGTGGGGCTCTGTTGATTTTAGTGTAGTCCCCACTGGGCTATGCCTCAGGTCATGTGTTCAGCATGTTCTGCACAGTGCTTCACACAATGAAGACACTGTAATAATATCCTAGCATACAAATGTATTTTAGATGACTTATTTTTAAACCCTGTCATTAACTTGAACACTGTGAATATTTCTTGAACACGGATTCAGATCTTTTTGTGGTGGTGTAATGTGTGCACACGAATTGAAGTCTAACTTCATGCAGCTTAGGTGACCAAAACCCCGAGTTCAACTGTCTTAGCATTAAGGATGCCTTATGAAACTCAGATGATCTCGGTTCTGTTCCACATGCGTTGAGTTAAAAACATTGCCCACTGCCTGCATTGTCATGAGACCCAAACTGAAGATCCATAAAAAAACCTTTCTTCTGTTTGTGATTTCTACTCATCTGTTAGTAGAAAACTTTCGTTCACATCAGTATATCTCAGTGTTGTGTTCTTCATTTAAAAAGTATGTGTTATTAATTTAAAAATATATATTCTTTGCTATCTTTCTCCTTGTAGGCATATATGAGGGAACCACTGCCAGAGCAAATGACTGTTAGGTTGTACAACGGAATGAGAAGTATTGACCTGACTGGAAAATCGTCTGCACCAAGTGACCACATTGCTAAGGAGCAGTTTGTAATTTTTATGTCCAACCTCCTAAAAGGAAATGCAGATGAGAAGATTACCATAATAATGAGAATGATCTCCACCACAGAAGGACCTGTGAAGGGCAAGGAAATCCAAGAGGTACACCAAAAAGCAAAATGCGTGTTTTGGGGGACAGTAAGAGAGCACAGACTCTGGTAGGTAATCTGAAGGCAACCCTTAGGACACAGATGATTCAGAACAGGATTCATAGCTGCTTTTCATCTGCTGCTGACTTGCTGATATTGGACAAACAGCGTTGGCTGGAGTTAGCAAAGAGCGAGGTGTGGTGGTGCTTCTGGGAACTGAGTTAATGCAGCATTAGCCACAGGATGGATCAAGTAAATATCTTTTGCAAAGTAGAATTCATCAGTGGCTGCAAACTTTCAACCCCTACCCATCTTTTGCATCCTATTTTACAGGGACAATTTGGAAAGTGATATTTAAAAATACGCTTTTCAAGCCTTATGACACTGAGTAATTACAGAATCACAGAATTATAGAGGTTGGAAAGGACCTCTGGGGATCATCAAATCCAACCCCCCTGCTAAAGCAGGTCCCTTGGGTAGGTTATTTCTGACTGCGTGAGAGGAGATGCTTCTGTCATTGGGATTACAGCATCAGTACTGCTTGCCTTTGCCCTTAGAAAGTCTTTGGAGCACTGTACAGTGTTATTTAAGAAATGATGGCATGGTGATGTTTTAACCTTTTAAGTTCACAGAGGATCTGATCAAGTCTGTAGTCCATGTACTGAGCTACAGGAAGGAACTGAAAGGTTGGAATTTGGAGAATACTAGGGATTCTGCAAGTGGAATAAAGGCTCTGTCTTCTCAGCTTCTATCAGAATTGAAACTTGCAGGTAAGCAGCACTGATGTAGTACATCCCAAAACGTCAAAGAGCTTGCATAATCTCCAGTCTCAAAAGAAATTTGCTCTCTGTGTCATATTTCTGTGAATTTAAATGATGAGACCAGTTTCTAAACCTAGTGCTTTGAGAATAACGTGGGAACTTTAATTATTCTAGCTTTCTCCAAAAATTCAGGATTGAAGTCACAGTTTAAGCAGACATGCAAACCTGCTTTACAAGTTCCTGACCTGCAGGTGACATTTTGATACATCTGCAAATGTTTTCTGATTGTATGTCATTTTGTAAAGCCCAGATCTATGTTTGCACTGTTGTAGTAATAGATTTTGCTGTTTTCCAAAGAACATCTCATTTGTTGTTATACTATGAGTGCACGTATTTTAATTATTACAACCCAACCAATGTCACAGGCTGATGTTTCTCAGTTCTGTGCATGCATCTGCTTGATGTAGTTGACAGCTACATGAGTCTCTGACTCTTTTTGTACATGATTTTACATCTAAATAAATGAATATCTTTTTTACACTTAAAAATGAACTGATTGTTTTACTAAAGGAAATTACAGTGCAGCTTACTACTGTTTCCATATGTCTTATTGTTTAGATGGGACAAAAGCTGTGAGTCCTCAGCTGATGGAGATGAACTTTGACAGAAGTGTCATTGAGGACTGGGTGTATCGAGTTCCACAAATCTCAGCTTTCCTCAGCGTTGTTATCAGGCAGGGCCTCCGTGTTCTGCATTCTCTCCCAGACCAAACCAAAGACATAGTCAACTTGGTTCCAGGCTGCAAAGGCATCAAGGGAAGAATTGTCAGCCTCTTTGACATCCCGTCCATCATATACATCAACTCCCATTTGCCTGCAGAGCTGCAGCATAAGTGGCGGCTTTTATTTTCTTCCAAACTTCATGGAGAAAGCTTCTCCCAGCTGTGTGCACACATAGTGAACAAAGGTCCCTGCATTGTGATCCTGAAGGACGTAGATGGCTTTATCTTTGGTGGCTTTGCATCTCACTCCTGGGAGGTGAAACCACAGTTTCAAGGTAAAACTCACTTTTTTTTTTTTCCCTGTTAATATCTCACGGTTCAGGAAAACATTGCTTATTCTGCACAGGTACAAGGATCCAGTCTGCTTAATGGATATTGTCATTTTATTTTCATAACAGATAGCATTTCCAGTAGTTCAAGTTTATTTTCCCATGCCAAAAATAACATTTATTTTGGAAGTGTGTTAAACTACATACCAAGTTATTCTGCTCTTGTGCCTGGCCAGCCATATTGCTGATGAATGCTTATCGTTTGTCTGTCATTTGATAAGACTTTAACACTGCAGAACGTATTGATCATGGTCTCCTTGTCAGTGAAATCTGTCAACTCCTGTAGCTCCATAGGTGAGAGTGAAAGCAATACAGCATAAATGTTGAAATAGCGTTTAAATAAAGCGTCCAGCAGATGGCAGTCTTTCATTTCAGAGCTGCTAAGCCACTGGTCTGACCTCAGATGTTCTTCCCTTTGCAGGTGACAATAGATGCTTTCTGTTTTCTGTTTTTCCCTCTCTTGCTGTGTACACATACACAGGATATAATGACCACTACATGTATTTGAACCACGGCCAACAGACAATGCCAAATGGACTTGTAAGTACTGAGAAATAACAGTTTAGAAATTGGACTCATGGCTGAGGTTTGGAAGTGTTTTGTTTTTTGCTTCTGTTACTTTGAGCTGATTTGTTTCACTTCCTTTTTCTCTGAGGATGTTTCCATTCTTTCTCTATGCTATTTGTCTCACAGTTACTAGTAAGAGTATTATTATTTGCTGCCTGAAATCATCAGTGTGAGGCATGAACTGTGGATACCAATGAAGAACTGTCTGCAGTACTAATAGAGTTTTTACTTTTCCTTATAGTTGGCATATATACTGAAGTACCACATAACTAGGATAGGCTTTGTTTGTGTCTGGCCCAAGCAGTGTGGGCTTCATGCAGATTTGGGTTCTGGAGATTATGGCAACAATGTGTGTTGGGTTTTATTTTCCCAAGTTTTCTGGGAGAACTGGCAGCATGTGTCCACATTATTGAAAAAGCAGGAGCTGGCTGAGCTGTGGAAGAGCTTTGTATGGCTGTTCTCATTGCCACAGTAATTGTTTTTTAAATGCTGTGAGAGTCCAGCAGCAGAAACTCCCTTTACTCAAATCCATGAATGAGCTCCCCAGATGCAGAGGAGTTTCTGCAGAACCACAGAACAACTTCTGTTTGGGACAGTGTTTTTACAGATTTGTTGTGTTATGTGCTCTAACTTTGGGAATTACAGGAGACCGAGATAAATTTGCAACACAAAACAAACAACATCAAATTGCATTACCCATTTCTGTGGTTACTTTTCTGGATAGAAGAGAGGCAGCTAAACCCAATGCTTCCAGTCTGTTTAAAATGGAACTGTCAATCAATAAACAAAAGCCAGTGAGCTGCATTTCTGGCACACGGCAGAGCTGAAGTCCTTGCAGATCCTGATATTCTGTAAAGCATACAGGAAGGGCAGCATCACACGGGTAAATTCTTATTTGTCTTCAGGAATGCTGGATCCGTGTACAGATCAGGTTCACTTAGAATATATGTTTCCAACTACCCACTAAGCATGGCATAAATACTGAACTTGGCAGTGTACAGTCTTGGTTTCATAACTTGTCTGCTCTCTGTTTTACACGTGTAGCAAATGCTCAACGTGCTGCTTTGGTTTACAGGGCATGGGTGGTCAGCACGACTACTTTGGACTCTGGGTGGACAGTGATTATGGGAAGGGACACAGTAAAGCAAAACCTCGATGTACCACCTACAACAGTCCTCAACTGTCAGCTAAAGAGGACTTCACACTGGATGCCTTGGAAGTCTGGGCAGTGGGAGACATGCCTGAAAGTGCAGAGGTTGGTGAACAGGGCTGACAGCTGTGAAATGGTGTCTGAATTGGAATGGGAGGAGATGCAAATGAAAAACTTGCAGTTTCAGTTTTCTCATTAACACTGGCTCTCTACTGTAATGAATAATGTTTTCTTTAACTCAACATTTTGTTCCAAGAAAACTGCAAAACAGTGAAATGATTGGGAGTTGTAGTAAGAAAAAGGATCAGGAGCTGTGAGGTGATAAAAGAACAATGCTTGATTCAGAATTTCTAGAGGCCTTTCTGATACTGAGGAATGGCCTCAAGGGAAGAACCTACTTGGAGGGGTTGAGTAAAACCCAGTATTTGTAAAACAGAAACAAAGCCCTAGAAATGCAAAAAGAAGTCTCAGCTACAGCGCAGGAAGAGAACTGAAAGAAGCAAAACGTTTCTTTATCAGTGAGTTGCAATTTATTGTTGTTTTGCAGTAGATTAGCCATTTATAATCCTTGGAGCTCCAATCTCAGCACTTCCTTATCTAACAGAGACTAATAAAAAAGCAGCAGGAGCTGCATTTAAACAGCTGATACTCTGTATAGAGCAGTGATAGTTGAAGTGCCTAGGAAACCTGCTTTCAGCAGGGATACAAAGAGAGAGCTTTGTTGCTTAAATAGTTTGTGATTAGATTTATGTCAGTCTTTCTGCACCTGGCTTATCCCTGGCAATGAGTATGAGACCTCTTTCCTGTCTCCTCTGTCCCTGCAGTTCATTCTCTTATTAAACTATCTGTTCTGCACAGTTGCTTGGGTTTTTTTTTTTATGGTTGTTTTTGTTTTAATTTTGTATTTCTTTTCATACTAAATTAATGTATCCTGTCTGTTCACTGGACACACAGAATTTCTGAATAGAAACGGAACAAACTGTTTACAACAACTGTTGAATTGTACTTGAATCTATTCCTTAAAAAAGAATTCACATCTGTGCTGGAAATTGAGGTCAGGCTCATAGCCGGAATGAACTTGAAATGATCCAATGTCCTATCAGACATTTTGTTCTTACTATTTTGTTAGCCACAGGAATCAGTCATTTGATGTATCCCAGTGAATCTTAGATGCCTTACTCAGAAAAAGTGCTTGCTTCATTGTGACAAACTTGCAAACCACATTTCTTGTGGACTTTTGAGCATGTCTCTTTCTTGTAGCTGAATACTGATTAACTCATAGTGACAGCATAAATTGACTTTATTTTATTATGCTTTACAGACTAAAGGTAAGAAGAGTATCCTGGATGTAGACCCTGAGGCTCAGGCCTTATTAGAAATGACTGGAAAGAGTCGGCACAGCGAAGGTTTACGAGAACCTCTTGAAGATGACGATGAAGATAACTGAAAGGATTTGCTCCTCCATGTTAATACTCCTCTTTTTTTCCCCTTTATACTTCCCTAATTATCTCGAGCTCCCCTTAAGCCTCACGCTTACGCATTTAGGGTTCAGTGCAGTATTCTGCCTGAAGGGTTTAGTTGGGGAAGACAGAAAAATTAACTACATATTCAGAGGTACCTAATAATTAAGTTCCAGCTGAATATGAAGAGTATTTGTAGTATATCCTGCCTGCATACTGCATTTAAAAACAAAAGAAGTTACTGACAGTACTGTATACCAACTTGGGGAACTGATGTGCAGTTACAGGAAAAAGTGGAGACAAGACATTGATGAAGGCACTTATACCTCAACTACATGTATTTATTTGAATGCAGTGAAGTTAGTGCAAATTCTATTATTTCTTATGTTGGTAAGCACAGAATAGTCCTCATGATTCCATCTATGAAGAATGTTATTAATTTACTTTGCTCCAGTTAAATCAAGCGACTCTAGGGGATGGAAGAGGGGCAGAACACTTAAGTATTCAGAATCCAGTTTTATGGTAATACACTAAGCTTTAATGAATTTCACTAAATATGTTTCTGCAGAAACCTATTGTTTTTTAAACATAGTAAAATGAAGCCAATGGAGTCAGTCAGTCATATTTATCTTAAGAATGAGCAAACCCTGGGATCCTGGAACAAACGTACCTCCAGCAGAAATTCCCTAGGGAAGGTGCCTTCTTTAGTGGCCTCAAGTGGTGTAAAAGATGAAACTGTGAAATGGATTAAGCAAGAAACATCCACAGGTAATTGTGAATAATAGCTGCACATGGCTGTAAATAAATAAATGAATGGAAGTCAGGCTTATGCCTTCAACTCATGTAAAGAAGACTACCATACATTTTATTTCCACATACTTAATCAGCATTGCTGTATCACAGAAAAGATGACAGAAGCATGAAATGTCACTTGCAGGTTGGGATTCTGATCACGTGGCATTTATTCATTTTCCTCTATGTGGTCTCTGATGCTTTTCATAGAGAACCAGATTTGAAATTCCAGGTAATCTGCAATTGTGTCTTAATGTAGATCCCACTTCTGTTAATTAAGGTATATATGCATTTGTCCTAGAGAGGACAGCACAAGAAATCACTCCAGCTATATATTCTGCAATTCAGCTGTGCATTTAGTGCCACTTTTAAGTAGAAAATGCTGTGCAGACAGCAGCTCATTACATGATGCTTACTGTAAGCGTGGCAATGCTGACTTCTGTTTTAATACATTATTGTCAAACTCCCACCAAACACCTCAGAAGTATTCTTTGCTCAGGCCCCATCAACACTTACTAAATACTGCCGAAGCAGAGAGCATACATAGTTGAATTTCTGCAGTTACACATTAATTACTCAACTTACCTTTTTCCCCTCCCATAGAGAGGTAGAGACTTTTTCTTGAAGACAAAAACCACTTGTGAGGATATTTTTAAAATAGCAAGCAGGGAGGGCGAGTTGCACAAAGCTGTTCTTCACCAAAAATTATTACAACTGCTGAGTTTTCTTCAAATTAAACTGTGTCAGTCGAGCTGGTTCTTTCTAGTCTATGAATTGAAAGTGTAATCCTGTTCAAGTATCAGCTTGTGGAGATTGGCATAGCATTTTGAGCTCCAGAATTGTGTTTTATGACAAGTTTAAGTCTGAGACTCTTTACTTAATAGTATTAAGCTGGAGAAGACTGATACTATGGCACTTGTAGCAGATGTCAGTGAAACACTACTTACCCCACCCAATTGTTCAAGATGGGCATGGAATAGCATGGAATAATCTCAACTTTCTTTTTTTTGATTAAGCAACCTGTGTTTAACACATCAGTGAAAGTCCAGAAAATGGTTCTCAGCAGTAGGGCTTGATCAAAACATCTCTCATTTCTATGCAGCTGTTGATCCAACTTCAAAGCTCAACATCCCCTGCTCTTATGAGAGTAAGCCCCTTCCCCATTGAATCCATCCACCCCTGTGCACCAGCTCAGCCAACCACTTTGCTCCTACTAGTTGCATAGGGACAAAAAACCACTGCAGTGTTCAGCTGACAGGAGTGCTGCACTTTAACTTTCAACACTTTGTTTGAAAACTCACCCCACATTCCTTTAGAGTCTTGTTGGATGAAAGCTAGGGATCACGGGATCTGGAAACACTATAGATTGGTGATAGAAGTGCTCACAAAGGCAGTTCTTTTCAGCTAATTTAAAATAAAAAGACGGGTCTAAATCAAGAATCTCCTTCAGATATTTCTGTGCATCATTTTAAAACATAGAATTTTATTAATAAAAATCACTGTGATTTAAATAAATAAAAACTTCAATTTATGCACAATAGATTTTTCTGTACAGGTGTGAAACTGCGTTACTTGTTTGGGGGCTATCAGCATTCTCAACACAAAGATCAATATTATAAAAATATACCTGATCTTGGTTTAAAACAGGAGTCATTCCAGAGATGTCTGTAGACAGCTCACGTAGCTTATGTACACTGCACAAAAGGAACAGACTGGAGTGGGAAGAACTGTTGGGACAAATTCACTGGGGTATCTTCAGAAAAGATGCAATCGTTAGACCAGTGCATTGAGTTCCCCAGCATCACAGCCCTGCTCCAGGCATCTCTTTTGTATCAGTTACTGCATTCCTTGTGTGCTTCTGGTGGCAGCAGCGTTTTTCACAGAGTTTGACCAACTCAGACACGATGAAAACTGTAGAAGCCAGTCCAGTAAGAAAGAGCAAGTCTGGTGAGAGGAAACAGAGCATGGGCAAACACAGTGGGCAGCTGGGTTTTGTATTGGGCTGAGGGTCATCCTGCAGTAGACACCTGTTCTGGTGCATCAGTACAGAGGTACAGCCTAGCTATGCTCATGGTAGTTGTTGAATTGGAATAGACTTGTCTACTGTCTTGTCTATTCTTGTCCACAGTAGACAAGAAACACACAGTCACAGGTGGTACAGCCTACGTGATGGCTGAACATCATTGATCATTTAGAATCATTGAATCCCATTTCCAACAACGTGCCTAATATAAATATGATATAATTTAGCATGGTAGAGTTTGCTCAGTCTAATTCAGATGGTAAAATATGCATTGCGTTTCAACTCAGCAACATTTACCAAGCTTTTTGCAAAATGAAGCGACTGCATAATGATCCTGGATAGATTTATTTAACGAAAAATCATCAGACAGAGCTCATGGAAACTCTCAATCTGCCTGCATTTATGTACAGTAAATCAAAATTGAAAACCTACCCTGGAATATCATTAACTACAAGCATTTTTGTGTAACTGCTTCTATGTATTTATTCTCCTACCAGCAATCTCATGGGAACTATCACATAGCAACTCTGCAATTCCATCTGCTTTTTAAAGTAGCTGAGAAGATGTATATGTATTTTGTAACTTACCTAGCACTCCTAAGTTCTCTGTCTGGAAGATCTTTTGTAATGGAGGGACGTATATAACAGCCAGCTGTCCCAGAAACGACCCGAGCACAGAATACAAGAACATGCGGTTTCGAAAAAAGCCTATTTCCAGTATCAGCTTTGTCTAGAGAAGAGGAAAAAAAATAAAAGGAAAAACAGCATTTTCCAATCTCCTGTTGGTATTTGAACATCAGGCTGTTTGTTTGCACATAAACTCTACCACTATTGGGAGTACTGAAGTTACATGAATGCAAACTCAGGCAAGAGCTGGATAGCTGAAAGCACTACGGTTGAACAGCAATGGATAGCAAAGATGATGAAAATCACACAGCTCTAAAGGACTGTTAAAAAAAAAAAAAAAGCCTTCCTATGCAAAATGTTTGCATTCTAGCGGGTTTTCTTCAGACCAGAAATTATTGTTGACACAACGATCTCACCTGAGAACGACACGTCAGAGCATTGAAGAGGTCAAAAAACACAAAACATGTAAAAGTCATGGTTGTGGTCCGGGGGGTTATGCCACCTTTAGGATTCTGGAAGCACACACACAGTTCCAGGGATTAATTGAGCCTTACAACAGTAAGTCCATGCAATAGGTGAACTAAATATTCCCTGCAATGATCCCAGGCAGTTCAAAGTACAGTCAAGCAAAGGAATAAATCTACTTCTAGCTACTATAGGCAGCATCGATTTCTCCCTGCTAATTGCTGGGTTTATGATCTTATCAACCCTATTTATAACTGATATAGATTTTGAATGAAACATATTCTAAACTGAATTATCTACACTGTTACAGCACAAACACTTTTAACTAACCAAAATGTGTAGTACTTACATGCTTGATATTCTCTACATCTATGAAACTCTAGAGGCAAAAAGTACCTTGGAGTGTTGGAATTGTTTCAAGTCACAGTTTTCTTGTTCTAGATAGGAAGGGTCAAATAAGAGACAAAACAGGAAGGCAGAAACAGAGCAAGGACTCTGGCTTCCTAACACTCTGCCCTTACTAATCCTTTCCCACTGGATGTATTTCAGGAAGTTAACGTGTACTGCCTTCAGAAATTGCCCTTCACTTCATTCTCCACCCTGATGAAAACAAGATAGGATTGCAGATTTTCCTCACCTCCTTCCAGAAGACAAAGAGGGTTCCACTAATGATAATTAGAGCTGACATGAAGATTTTCAGGATCAGTGATTTGCTGAGTATAGTGTCTGTAATACATCGAGGTGGCTGTTTGATTGTATCCTTATCAACAGGTTCAACTCCCAAGCTGCCTCAAATAGAAGAGCAATGCTGCATTTAGTTAACACAGGCTGTCCTGAGATTATACTGCTGGTAAGAGAAGATGGATCTGGAAGATTAAATTCTTTTAAATAAAGCATGAGAAATGCCAGTATTCTGGCAATATTACATAAGGCTGTATTATCTGTGAGAGCAAGATAAAGGCTCTTTTTTGTTTTGCAAAACAAACTGCTACAATGACATAATACTAAGCTATCATAGTGCATCATACCCATACGTCATCACAGAGGGAAAGCTAGGGGTGAGATTTCAGCCAACATCCCTTCCATAATGAAGATGCTGTAATTAGCAGTTCAGTGAGGTTCTTGTATCTTGTGATTTTGGTCTCACCAAAACAGGAAGATGTCAAACCTCAAGTACAGAAACAGTAAATAGCTTTAAGAGGGACCAGAAGGGAATGCAAGTACAGCTTGTCTTATTTAACCATCAAGTGATTGGCACGCTGATAAGAAATCATAACAACTCGTGCTCCTAAGCCAACACAAGCTGTTAGGTTGCTCACTTGTCTCTTTTATACCTTTGGGCTGGGGGCCCATCCATGATGATGTTGATCCATAAGATCTGCATTGCATTGAGCGGATTTGGTAGGTTGAGCACTGTTGACAGAGTAATTAAGCTCAAAGCTGAAATGCTCCTGCAAAGCACAAAAGGAGGTTTAGTCTGCATGGCCTTGCTTCCACTGCAGTTAAAGCAAACAAGAACTTACGTGCTCAGCTGGAACCGAACAAAGTTTTTTATGTTGTAAAATATTCCTTTTCCCTCTTCTATTGCATTCCTGAAAGAGAAGGGAGAATTTATTTAATAACTAGCATTAACAGTGTTTCACACTGAGCTCTTCCTATGACACTTGGAGACAAGTTACCTTCTCTAGCTCTTATCTCAGCTGAAATCAAGGCCTCAGCTTAGAAAGAGGAGAACAATGTATCCTCTGATTAAGAATGATTTTATCAGGACTAATCAATCTGAAAACTGTGGTTCACGTGGCCAGGTCTTGGTTCATAAAGCAAACATGTGACCTATTATATCCTCACTCTACTCTACGTTCTGTGCCTGTTGTTACAAACCAACAGAGTGTTGCAAATTATGCATCTTTCCTCTGAGCTTCTTGCACAAGGCAGGGGAAACAAGTTAAGATTACCCAGACCTGTGGGCACTTTTAAATCTCCAGGTAGCTACAGTAACTGAGGAATCTCTATAGCTACAGCAACAAGACGCCAGGGCTTTCAGGTGAAAGCTAGCTTTGTCACCACCACCTGAAACAAAAAGGTTATTGCAGTACATGCAACTGAAAGTGAGCCAGGCCCCACTGAGGAATTCATCTCCACTTACACATCCTGCATCTTGTGATTTTTCCAGGCTAGTCACATAACAGCCTCATTGCAATGGATAGCCAGAAAGCATGTGAAGTAAGAAAGGGTCAGATACCAAGGAAGTCTCTGAACCTACATTACTGTTGAGAAGTCATCATCCACAAGAATCATGTTGGCAGCCTCTTTGCTGACATCTGTACCCGCCTGCCCCATTGCAATCCCAATATCGGCAGATTTAAGAGCCACAGCATCATTAACACCATCTCCTGTCATTGACACAATGGCACCAGCTCTCTGCAAAGCCTGTGGGGGAGAAGAGAGGAGGGACTCTGAAGCCAGGAGAAGTCCTGTTGCCAATCACAGGATGGGCACTGAACAGAACTGCTGCACAGTTTTGAATGTGGATTGCTTGTTAATACCAAGCATAATATTACTTGCATCTCTCAAATGACCCAGGAGAGGTGTGCAGCAGAAACACTAATGATATTGTTGTAAGTAGTGCCAATGCTTTAGCTTTGGTTTTCTGGTCATCTAAGTTTGAGCTGATCTTGTCCTGGGAGACCAGGTCATTGACAGAACTCCTGAGGCCCACCCTGTGCCTTATTTTTGCCAGGTTTATGATGGATTTGAGAAGCTTTTAGTACCTTTATGATTTTTAGCTTGTGCTTTGGACTTGTTCTAAAGAAAATTGAAATCTGAAAAACAAAAACACATGATGGTATGAGATGGATGCTAGTGGAGGTGGAACAAGGCCTTGATACTGCGTTCAAAACCATTACATTTTTGACAGTGGATGAGAGTTCTGACTCTGCCACTTGATCCAGCTCTTCCCCAGACATGGCTTTCAGTTTCCCATTGCAGAGACCAATATTCTGCCCTGCAAAGAAAAGCCCAGAATAAGATCCGCTCATCAGCTCTGGAAAAAGGCAACTATTTCCTGACTTGAGGAGCAGGGGCAGCAATTTAAGAGCTGGTGAAGGCAGTCGCCCTGGCAGTGTGGAAGCAATGCAATACTCAGGACTGGAGCTGGTACCATGTCCAGCCCTCTGCTGCTTGCACAGTGTACTTCTACAGGCAGAAGGCAAAAATAGGAAGTACAGATGCTCACACTTGAAACATTAGCAGAGTCTATAATCCCAGCAAGGCCATTTATCTCATTTAAGGACATTAGACTGAGATTTTGCCATTTCTTGCTTGAAAATAGCACAAGCTACAGGAATTTGGCCCATAGTGCATAGCTGTTTTATTACTGCATTCAATATTTATTTCAATGGAAAAGGCAGGAAGTCAGTGATATTTAGAGCCTCTATTACATAAACAAAAAGAACGATACAGGTGATCATTGATAGGTAATGTAACACAACACTGGACTGATCTGACAGTACAGACCCACAGGAAGGAAACCAGGTTCGTTACCTATAGCCACAGCAGTTTCCAGGGCATCTCCAGTTATCATCTTTACTGAGACACCAGACTCAACAAGGACCTGCACAGCTTCTTTCACTCCAGCCCTGGGGGGATCAATTATTCCAACCAGGCCCAAAAAGGTTAGTTTGCCAAGTTCTGAACCTGAAGCCAAAGCGAGTACTGGAAACAGAGGAGGGGAAAAAAAGACAACAAAGCAAAATTACTTATACTTCATTTCCGTACATTAAAATGAACACTTAGGGGAGATCTTAACTTTTCAGTTTTCCAACTGAAAAAGTCATTCAAGCCAGATATTCAGATCTTTTTGTATAGGAGGCTCAAAAAATTGCTCTGCTTGAATAGCATTTCTGTTTCCTAGATTTCCCTTATGATTTATTGCTCTTTAATTTAAATGCCTACTAAGTCTTCCCTGAAAGCAAGCAGATTGAGACAGTGCAACATTAGAGCAGACACTATATAAGTATTATGTAAAACAATAGTGCCCCTGTGAAAACAAATGTTTGAGGTTTTTTTTTTTATTTATTTTAATCTATGATTTGAGAAATAAATCTGTTCAAACTAGTGAAACTTTCATCATCAGCAAGGCTCTGAGCACATTGCTTCTGTTCTCACTGCCTAAACTATATTGTCCAATTGGTCCCGAATAACTCCGAGATATTTTGCCAGGTATTCAGGGCAGCATCTCTCTGATGACTGAATCACAAGCTCACAGCAGCTGCCTCAGCTAATTGCTTTTCTTCTGGAAGGTGATTTGCCATTCACAAGCCAGATTTAGATATTGCCAAGCAATCTCTTACACCAGTTACTAACCACAAGACATAGGACTGGAGAACACATACATTGACTACATCTCCCAGACCTCGCTGCCAAGACATGTTCTCATTTACTTACATCCTGAGAACATGCAAAGGAGATGATGTGTCTTTGTTACTGTGTGAAAGTCTAACATATTTCTGATGTGATCTTTCAGCAATGAAGGAAATGCCACATTTATAACAAATCCTCCAATTCGTGCACTGACATGAAGTCAGGATCAAAAGGAAATCATTACGTTTGGTCCTAATAAAGAATTGAACTAAACATCAAATGAAAATGTCAGTGCCCAAATCCATGCTCTGATCCCCTTCACAGTTGCTTTTTGTTGCTCTTGAAGCAGCTCTTCAAAGCAAAACTTGGCAGAGCACTGACTAGATCAGGTGAAGCTTTTCAATGCAACTTTCAGACCGTAACTCAGATGATCACAACGCTTCAGGGAAAAGAAACATTCACTGGTACCACTGCTTATTTTCAGCTCCTTTCAAGCTCACTAATTTAAATCCAGCAGGAAAAAGAAAGAACAAAAAAAAAGGGAGGAAAAAAAGAAAAGATTAATGGTAAGCAACATCCAGCAGACTGAAACCCTTCCTAGACTCTGACACGTACTATGAGGAGATCATGCAAGTGATGCTAAGGGTTAAGCCTCTGCCCATCCTAACCAAAACAGAGCAGGAAAGTATTGGGGCATAACAAGGGACACAGGCAGCAAGGACTGACCCCGTAGACCTGAGGAGCCCATTCTTTTCTCTTCCTGCTGGTAGGAGGCTTTCTGTTGAGGTGTGAGCATTAATGAGATGCCACTGCTGTTATACATAGTGCAATATCGAATCACTTCTTCAAATGCTCCTTTCATGAAATAAATATCTTCCTGATCCTTTAAAGGAAGAAGATGATGTATTTTATCAAAGGAAAAAAAAAAAGTACTGGCAATGCATAAAGCTTTTCATCTGATAAAAAGTCCTTTCTTTGCTCTTTTGCCTGTTTCATAATCACCCACCTGCATGTGTTATTTATAGGATGCAATGGCTTTGCTTGGGCCATTTTTCATGCTCAGCCACTGCAGACACAGCCTGATGAAACAGTATGAGTTGTTCACCCAGAGAACGATATCAACTAAAACAAGCTCCTTATTAAGCAGGCAGGGAAGAATAGCCAACGTTTTCTTCCAAACATCACATCTCCCTTCTCCTGCCAGTTTTCACCAACAGCTTCTGTTTTCCTGATCAAACCACTACACAAAAAAGAATTCTCCTATTCGAGCACAGCACTACCAGCTAAAATTACACCCAAGTCAGGAATTCTGAGGTTTGCTCGGTTTCTCCTCCTGATACAGTTAACTTCTGAAAGCACTATTTGCTGAAGAGATACCATTTCATGCCCATTGTTGAGGTGCACAATTAGAAACAAGAAACCAACCCACAGGACTGCTTGCTTTACCTGATTTTTCAGTGTGCATTTCACAGCCATCCATTTTTGTTCGGAGCTAAATGGAATTTCCTTCTTTCTTGCATAACTATCTTTTATGTCAGCTAATTCCATCTGAAGTACAGTAAAATAAAAAGAGCACTGTAATGCTGAACAATGCCAAAGCTTGTCTTTATTTTTCACGGCACAGCATATGTCAAGAACTGACCATGTACTTCAAAGGCAGTTGTATTTTATAGAGCTCAAGAGAAAGCATTGGAAAGAGTAGAATCTCTATTTCAAAAAGATCTTTTCCCCTTGGTGCCTGACATGGGATAAACCAACCCATGGTTTGAAGCTTTTGCAAGAAGCATTGGGTTCTGCAAGAGCACTAACCATGGAGCTGCACTGCTGTCCAGGCCCTCAGTGGGGCTTTGGATCAACTCTGTTAGAGTTGCAGGCTTTAACATGAGGAGCTAAAACAAATGCCTGTATTGCTTCATCAACCACCTGCTGTAACTTACAGCCCACCTGAGCTCAGAGGCCACAAATTGTGTAAGGTTGATCTGATGATTCCTGGAGGTGTCTCTGAGTACAATATTCATTCAAAATTCTTATTTTATATAATCATGTTCAGAAAAATGTAAACAGCTATCAAATAATCCAAACCCAGGGTGGCCCTATGCTATGCTTTCTGGCACGGCCAGTTCTTGCTTGTTTTTCCACACTCATCTTCCTCCTGAACTCTTAACTGGAATCCAGAGGAAATGTAAACAGACATTTTCGTTTGAGCACAGAAGAAATCTATGCAGAACAACTGCAGTAATTAACCAAGCAAAACAATTACTGCTGTTAGCACAGAAGCTCAGGGAAGGTGTTTGTCCATGGCAAGAGACTTACATGGGAGAGGTGTACATCTACAACCCTGGGGAGAAGAGAAAAGGAAAGAAAGGGTAAAAGCAGTCTGCAGACTTTAAAGAAGTCTGATCACTGCTGTCAGACTTAACAGGTCCAGCTTTTTCTATTATTATTTTTTAAATTCTGGAATATTTTAAATCTCAACAATCTTACCTTCATTGCAAGAGCAAGAAGAGCTCCTTCTGTGGGCTGTCCTATCACACTGTTTTTCCTGATAATGGCATTATTGACCACGCAGCCAGCCTAGAAAAAGCACTCACATGGTTCATTTCTTCCACACTAAATTAATAGCTTTTTCCATCTCTTTAAATGAAATAGAGAGAGATCACAGAACAAAAGCAACCACATCCCAAGAGATGTACTACTCCCTATAACTGCATCTCTTGAGATTAGTTCTTGTGCTTTCTAAACCTGCTTAATCCACAGAATGTACCTTTTTGGGGGGTAAATTTTACATTTTAGACAACCTGAAGCAAAATGCTATATATATATATATATCAAACTAACTTCAGAAATCATGAAAACTCAGACATTCCTACCATTGCTGCTAATGTGCAGTATGGGTACAGCACATCCTAGCTTCCGTTTGAGGCTCCAGCTTAGATCATCTCACTATTCAAACACTCAGCCTGCACTCAAATGCCCAAGATTATATTTAATGCTAACATGAAATCCAGAGACCGTGGCAGTGCATTTACATATTGATTGCACAGCTGGCTCAAGTCTAGAGTCTGTCTACATTAAAAACCTGAAGATGGTAATATTAATTGCTCTCTCCTCTGCCAGAATCATAGTTTGTTCCGAAATATCAGTGACACTCAACTTGATGACTCTGGCCCTTCCCTACACATCTTGATTGCTGCCTTTCACCAATTAGCTTCGTGTTTCATGTCATGACTACTTGGAGAATTTCTCCCTGACTGCACTCACCAGGCACTTTCTTTAAGTTACAAAAGAGGTATTTTCACACTCTTTAACTGAAATGATCTATGCTAATAAAAACTGAATGCAAATAGGGCAAGCTGATTCACAGAATCACAGAATGGCCAGGGTTGGAAGGGACCTCAAGGATCATGAATCTCCAACCCCCCTGCCACAGGCAGGGCCACCAACCTCCTCATTTAATGCTAAATTCATAACTTACACTCACCTCCACTAGTTTCCCAACTGAGACGTTGGAAAATTCTTTAAGAATTTCCTTTGATGGCAGAAGATAAACATTTCCTTCTCCATTGTAGCCCACCCCACTGACCTGAGGAAAGGAAGGAGAGAACAACTTTCTCAGTGCCAGACAACACTACACCATGTCTCCATACAATGAGGTGCACTTAAGAAAATTTCTGATTTTGAAGGGATTTTTCTTTCTAGCTCAAGGCAACGCTGCTGGTAATGAATTTTATTAAATTAAGAAAACATAAGGACAAAAAGAATCAGCTCATCTTCTGAACTCAAGTTCTGTGGAAGTACTGTGCAGCTCAGTCAAGAGATCTTGTTCTTTGTTTGCAGTGGGTTCACTGGTATTGCTAAAGCCCTGATCATGCCTGCATTTATCAACTCTGCAAGCAGGTAAATGAGCCAAGTATTAATGCACTCATAATAAATATTCCTATAATAAATAGACCCACGAGGCTCAACAGCAGATTTCAGTTTTTACAATTGCAAAGAACAGCAGATGAAGTCAATTTGTTCATGTGGCTTTTGTACAGGCAGAGCTAGGGCTGCACATCTCTCCAGCACCGCAAAAGTCCCTTCTCTTCGACCAAACCAGTGATGTGCAATGAAATGCTTTTTTGGGGACCAACTCAACACTCCATATTTGGGCTTCACAGAACTAAAAGCAAGTCAGCCCCACTGAGCTTGAATATGAAAGTCTATATCACATCATCACCTCCATACCTCTGCCTGGAAGCCATCTGAGGTCACAAGTCGAGTCACTGTCATCTCATTGGCAGTCAGAGTGCCTGTCTTGTCTGAGCAGATGACATTGCAGCAGCCTGATGCAAGGAAGTTTTTAAATCAGAACGCATTAAGTTATAAGGAAAAGATGAGAGGAAAAGAATTTGATTATGCTTCATGGTATTGTGCAAGTGATTTGGTTGTGAGATGCAGTAGGAGACATCTGAAGATGTCTGCATTGTCTTGAGCATCAGGTCATGAGCAGCCAAAGACGACCATGATCTCCAGGAGGTGACCAGCATATCCAGGCACTGCACACCAACAGAACAGCTATTATTATTATGTTCCAAGAAGTATCAATTTCTTGCTCTGCCCCATGCTTCCTCAGATGGGCCACTTAATTAACCTTTGCTTCCCTATCTCTAAGTCAGAAACAGCACTTCCCCACCTCCCCAGAGGGCTGTGAGGCTAGAAGTGTCGAAAACTGCTGCAAAAAGCATTTTAAAATCCAGCTAAGAGTGGGAGCTGCCCCACTCATGCTTTGTTTTGTGACAACAAAGCACGCTGATGCCAGGGCCCATTTACAGCAGAACACAGCAAATGAGGGAATGAGAATACTTAACAGCATTTTGGCTATTTTCCCTTCTCAGAAAGGGAAAAAAGATGACTTTAGCACAAAAGAGAATCAGCCCCCTTTGAAGCCTGAATATCTTCCCTGGCTCTGGAGGTGACCATACAGCTTAGCAAAGACTCACCAAAATGATGATTTCTAGGTAAGAGCCTGGAGAGAATAAAACAGATTGGGCTGTGAGTAAATTAACTGCAGTTTTGACTTGACTAGCTTTTCTGTGCTATCACCTCTAATATTTCATTTTCAATTATTTACAGTTACAGAACCAGGTAAAGCTGGAGGATCATGGCCTCAAGTTGCACTAGGGAGTAGTGGAATCACCTCTGGAGGTGTTCAAGGAACATTCAGATGTTGTATTGAGGGACATGATCTAATAGGGAAGTATTGGTGGCAGGTGGATGGTTGGACTGGATGATCTTGGAGGTCTTCTCCAACCTTGGTGATTCTATGATTATTTTTCACCCTTTGAGAAGTTTACCAGACACTGTAGAATTTATGTATGGAGAGTACAGCTTTTTCCACTTCTAGGTCATCTGGCAGAGTACCTGGACATCTCGCAGTTTTGCCTATTTGGGCGCAGCCCTTCTAGAACAAAATTCTTAATGAGATAAGGCAGCCTCAGATGTCTGGGTCAGGGCAGGTACAATAAAATCAGGGTGATAAGATTCCTTAACTGCAGAACAAACAAGGGCAGTTCAAACAATAGCAGCATTTCAAACTCAGACAAATCTTAGCTGAAGATCCATCTGCACAGCAGATATCTTGAACTACCTGGGCCTGGCTTGGCATTTAGTGCACACTTTAATGAGTGGTCCTAAATGCACAATACGTTTTCCCCTTCATATAATTGCCATACTGACCAAGGTCAGAATAGCAAAGCCTGGAATACAGTGACCTGGGAACGAGGGCCAGTTTGAATAATTTCAAAGGAATACTTTCAAAAGAGCTTATTCTGCCCCGTGCTGTGAGAGTAAGCTGGATGCCTTCTCAACATCCTCTCTTATCCCTACTTTCCACAGCTCTTTGGACACGAGGGAGATGGCTACACAGACTACAGGAAAGCAGATAGTTTTGTCTATGCCATCAGGCTCAACTTGAGCGTCTGCAAGGCTTTTTAGCCAGACAGCAAAGAAGTGGATAGCAGGGACCTGCAGGATGATCCCATGGAATGGAGGAAAAGGAGAAACCCAGCCTTTCAACCCAAACAGAGCAGTCAAGGCTGCAGAGGAGTATTGCTCCCCATGGGCCACTGCCATGGGTTGGCTTGCAGCAGGAGGAAGATGCCACAATTGATTTCTCTCTGTATCACTCCTAAAAGACAACAGCACCCGATCACATTACTGTCACTAAAGTAAGGGAAAAAGGTGAGGAACATGAAGTAGCATTTAAGTTTGAGTGGGTTGCTCAGGCCCAGTAAGCATATTCCAAGATCAAATACACATTTTTATATTGAAATAATAAATAAGTAATAAAGCAATTAAAGTAATAAAATGATAGAATAAAAATCAAAGTGAGGCTCACTTGGACTCAGCTGAATTTGTACAAATGACCAAAACCTGTGGCTCCTTTGCAAACTCACCTAAGGTTTCTACAATGGGCAGCTTCTTCACAATCACTCTTTTCTTGGCCATACGAAGAACACCCAGCACCAGTGTTACAGTGACCACAATGGGAAGGCCCTCTGGGATGGCAGCCACTGCCAGGCTGGGGACAACAGAGAGAAAGCAGTTTTAGTGTATGGGTCAGACTGCAAATGCTGACCAATCATTCCAAAGGGATATCTCTGTGGGGTGAGTCTTCCTGCCTATATGGGCACATCTGAGTGGAACTGTGCACTGCTAACCACTGGGACTGCTGAGAAAAAAAATAAAGAGATATCTATCCAGCCCTTCAACATTTTTCTGGGTAATTTTGACAAAGCGTTCACTTTTCTTTTTCACATCGTTAAAGAGCATTAACTTCTGGTTCAGCAGGGATTTAGAGGTTGGATTTCATTCACTTGGATGGAACATGAATAATCCCTGACATCACATCTCATGTGATAGCTACTGACTCCTGTCCATACACAGCCCCACATCTCCTACATGTGGGCACAAACTACGTCAGGAGAGAATGAGCTGCCCAGATATCCCTACGCTGTGCACACTGAATGGGGCCAACATTAAAGCCCACAGCAGCTGGCATGCTAGGAAAACTCAGATACTGGCCACATCTGTCCTTTAGTTATTTCCTTGGGTAATTGAGCACTTCCACATATGTTTCCAAAGCGTAACCGAGGAGGACTTTCAAACCCACAGGCTGCTCCCCAACATTCAGAGTTAACTGCTTTTCTTCGCCACCATATCTCATTCCCTGTTGCTCTGTTGTCCCCCCATCTGTAGTGTTGTTTTCATTTATTTATTTATTTTATTTCCATGGAAAGCTTTTCTAAAGGACTCATTTGAGAGTCATGACAACATCAAACAGTAGATTTTATGGGTGCTACTAAAAACACATGGTTTATTATGTTTGATTAAGAGCTTGCACATGCATTTCAGGTCCATAAAACACACATTCCTGTCATTATGCGTAAATCTAGAAAGTACAGTAAAGGCTAATATTTGCTGTTGTTACACTCCCACTAAATTCACAGTACAGACAGGAAAGGACATTCATGGCAGGATGAGCTGGAAGTGCCAGTGAAGATTTTCAAAATACTTCGTTCAGAGAAAATAAGGAAAAATATATTTGAATGTAATTGATTTCCAAAGACATCCATGCTTCTTTTTTGTTAAACTCAATTATAAAGCCAACATTAATCACACCAGGTGCAAGATCAGCATGTACTTCAGAAGGGTCTTATGCAAGCTCTCTTCTGTGAAGTGCCCATTGTTTTGAACAGAAAACTCCCTGGAATGTATTTCAGTACAAATCAAAGAGAAAGGAGCTTTTTCAAATCCTTACCTAACTCCAATGGTGAACATGCTGAGAAGATGCTTTCCTTGTAACCAGCCAATGAGCATTATTAAACCTGGTGGGGGAAAATCATCAAGTTAAAAAACACTGAGAGCAGTATACCTCTCCAATCCGCTTTAGCTGCTGTTGAAGAGCAAATTATGCAATGAAGCCCCCAGAATCTCTGCTTACATCTCCCAAAATCTCAGTAGTTCCCATCAAGTACTTTTGAAAGCAGCAGCCCTGGAGCACAGAAGGCTCTCCCAGCTCCACACACAGCTGTGAGCATTGCATTCTACTCACCAATTATGCCAAAGGAGAAAAGGGTGAGTTGCTTCCCCAGTCTGTCCATGCTTTTTTGAAGAGGGGTTTTGGGAGTCTGGGAACATGAGAGAACAGCTGTTTTTCTTCATGCATTATGAAAGATGAGAAGATGAAGGTAGGGCAGAATGATAGCCCCACACAGACCTGGTCATTATTACTGTGGTCCTTATAACTGCCCCATACTGCCCAGTGCTTACCCACTCCAAACCTAAGATCAAGAGATGATTAGTTTCTAACACCTCATCTGTGTTTGGTTCAGAGATGCAGCCAGTGAAAGCATGGCTTGTGTACAACTAAAATTTTATATACCCAGAGGAAGTGGAGGAAAATAAAGAAAGAAAAACAAACAAACAAGAGGCCATATGGTTCAGGCATCTCTCAGTCATGCAGGCATCCAATAGCAGACAAATCTAATGCATTAATCCCCAACAGTGCTCCCCCTCATGATTTTCATCCAGCACATCCACCATTTCCAGAGTGACCCAGAAACTTTACCTCTTCAGCTTGCATCATTTTGAACACCTCTCCAAACTGTGAATTTTCACCTGTTCCAATAACTACACCCTGAAAAGAGGGGAAAAAAAAAAAAGAAAAACAGATGAAAAATCTTATATAAAAGATTCTGTGACTAACATCAGGGAAAAGACTGGGGGTGAGAGGACTCACTTTTCCCTTCCCATATCGCACCAGGGTCCCCATGAAAACAACATTGCTCAGAGTGGTTATGTCTCCAGCTTCCAGTAACACACCATCAGTCTTGTTGCAAGGTTCAGCTTCTCCAGTAAAACTGGATTCATCCACCAGCAGATCTGTAACCTAAATAAAAACATGCCATTTCTTGCACTGGTAACGCACCCTTTCAAAGCTGGCCCTTGTCCATGGAGCTGCATTTACCTCTATTAGCCTGAGGTCTGCAGGGACCCTATCACCAACAGAAAGATATATGATATCTCCAGGCACAAGCTCTCTTGCTAGAAGATGCTGCAGTTTTCCTTCCCTCAGGCTAGATTAGATAAATGGAAAAAGAAGAAAAGAAACCAGGCTGTGAGCACATTATTCTTTCTGCAGGCTCAGGAATGACAGGCAGGAAAGCAAGAACTCTGCCCCAAGGATCTTGCAGTGTAAATAACAAAATCTGCACTAAGCACAGAATGATAGAATGGTTTGTGTTGCAAGAGACCTTAGAAATTATCTTGTTCCAACCCCCCTGCTATGGGCAAGGACACCTCCCATTAGAACATGAGAAGAGAGAGTTCCTTCCCTCTTGCTCAGTTTAAATTCCTGAACAGATGGGTACATTACAGAATATTTACATATCACCAATAAATGACATGAACAGCATTTATATAGCAAAAACCTTACAGACCCCCAGTTCCAACCCCATCACAGGTATGGACATCTTCTACTAGAGCAGGTTGCTCAAAGCCCCATCCAGTGCAGCTCTGAACACCCCAGGGATGGGCACCCACAGTTCTCTGGGCGGCCTGTACCAGTGCCTCACCACCCTCCTAGTGAAGAATTTCTTCCTAATTTATTTAAATCCACCCTTGTCCTGTCAATCCAATTCCTGATAAGCTGCCCCTCCCCAGCTCTCCTGAAGGTCCCGATTAGTTATGCTGCAGTGCTGTCTCCCCAGAGCTCTCTCTTCTCCAGCACCCTCAGCCCATCTTCATCTTCCAGACACTGCTTTCTCATTACACCAGCAATGACCTGCAGTCATACTCCTTGCCAGCCAGTTCTGCTCTCATAACCCATAGGACTCACACCCTACCAGCCAGCTGCGCCTCACCAGTTGCACTCAGGAGGAACCAACTTGTTCAGTTCTTCCAGAGACTTTTCAGAACGATACTCCTTTTAAATCAGAAAGGAAAAGAAACCAAGTTAGGTGAGCAACCTGCTGGGGGCGGTGGGGCTGAGCCCTGCTTCACGTACCTGGATGAAGGCCACGGTGACCACGATGAGCACAGCCTGAGGACAGAGAGATGTTACAGGCACTTTGGCTTTGGGAAGCAAAGGGCTGGGGTACAGGAGATGTGCACCTACCATGGTGATGCTCGCAGCATCCTCGTACTCCTTAGTGATGACGCTTACCAAAGCAGAAGCCAGCAGCAAGAGAATGAGGGGATTTTTAAACTGGAAAAAGAAATGAAATGAATAAGAACATAAACATGGTCTGAGCTGGTCTCAGAGCTGTTCAGAAAGGGCTGGAGATGCTGTCTGGCTGCAGGAACCTTCCTGTATGGAATGGGTGCAGTGTTTGTAGTCAGATTGGGGTCCACAAGGACAGGGCTGAGGCTCCCACCAACACACACTGATGTCCCCACTTTCCCCCACCTTACAGGCAAGGGTTGCCTTTTCAGACACGTAGGGCAGGGCTAGCTCTGAAATCTCCTTAGAGAAATGACAGGCACAGACAAAACCTTTTATTGTCTTTTAGAATTTGATACTAGAACTCGTCTCTTCCCCACCCTCCCCCCTTCCCCCCCCTTTTCTCCTCATTAATCTGCCAAGCTCTGCCCTGGTCACAAGAGCCAGCACTGTCAGGTGTTGCAACCCCCCCCCCAAAATGGGAAACATCACCAAAATCAGCAGCAGAATAGGGAAAGCCACACACTACGGGAGACTATTGTCACTTTTTCCTTCACTTCTGGCAAGGATTTTAAGGGCCCTGCTCCCACACGCAAAAATCACCACTTCATTTAGCTAGCATGGGAACTGGTAGAACTGAATGGCACTGAATAGTTTGTTTCATGTCCTCATAGGAGAAATAATTTGTTAAGGTAGTCAAGGAGGAGTCAAAAAAACAAAAACCAACCTACCAACCAAACCAAACAACCCAGCATCTCATTTTTTTTTACTGAAAATAAAAGAATCCTTGAAGAGATTTAGTGATGCTTACATCAAAGCAATAAAAGTGTATTGATCACACAGGAAAAAAAGGATAATCCACGAAATAAAAAGCAAGTTTCCCAAAACAAGGAAAATCTTCATTATCCAGCTAAGACTACATCAAAGGGAGCAAAGTAATAATAATAAAAATTAAGAAAATAGCCAAACAGTCAAATTGCTAGCTGAAAACAAATAGGTAAATAAAACCACTCTTCTTATTTGGTTAAAAACTCAAAGGATCACAAAATCACCAAGGTTGAAAAAGACCTCCAAGATCATCCAGTCCAACCATCCACCTACTGCCAACACTTCCCCACTACACCATGTCCCTCAGTACCACATCTTAAAACCTTTCTTGACCACCTCCAGGGACGGTGACTCCACCACTCCCTGGGCAGGGAAATGATCTTTCAGAGAAAAAAAATTAAAAACATTTCCTTGGAGAGGTGAAAGATGCTTTCCATGTACATGAGAGTATTTAAGAAAATTCAAGATAAGCTGGTTGGGGAAAAAAGGACAGCAAATCCACCTTCTGCCTGACTCCTTGGGTACAGCTGGCTTTTCCAAACCTTCCCTGATTTTATCACTTACCTTAAAAAGAACAGATGCGCTCCAGAAACCAGTTCACTGAGCTATAACTTTTGATTTGTGGGCTGCATGGAGATAAAAAGGTTTATTTTTATTTTAAGATGTTATCTCCAGGTTAAATGAACCCGCATCTGCACCTCACAATGGCTTTACTGTGGGAACAGTTTCTGGATCTGGGGCACATCCTGTCCCAGGACTGAATTCATGGAATATTTCAACACAGAGACTTGCTTAAGCCACCCCAGTTAGGGGCTGTCAGCAGGAACCAGGAATCTATGCCAGAAACACTTACCTGGTCCAGGTATTTCTTCCATATAGGCTCTGTGGCATCTACTGAAAATTCATTCCAGCCATGTTTTAACCTTCGCTGCAGCACGGAAAACTCGGAGAGCCCAGTTTGTAAATCAACCTAGCAGGACATCAAAGAAAAACAACGTTACATGGTGTAGGATACTCACAGAAAACTACAAAAGCAAGCCTAAACAACAGACTCTCACTTCACCCAGGAGTAAAGCAACTCACTGAGAACCTCCCTCTTGTGCCTCAGCACCTCTCCATCCATCTCACTGGCCATGAGCAGCAGTCACAATGCCAGGCACTGCACCCAGTCCTGCCAGGGCCAACATCCCTGCTGGGGACCAGCAACTCCACTCAGCAGCAGCAATGCTGTGAGCAGAGGATGGGGCAGAGCTGGGGTGTGGGGTCAGGCTGTGAAGTCAGCCGGGAGTGATAAAAACAGGAATTTTGCCTCTGAAATGAAACCTGCCTTAAAAAGCAGGGAAAATACGTTGTGTGCACTCGCATGATGATTTCTAAGGAGCTGATGATGATTTGGGTCAATAGCTGCACAGTCTGCAGTGTTATGTTTGTGAATAGAGGTAAAACCCCTTACATTTAAGGCTTTAGCCAAGTCTTCTTTATGGCATTTACACGCATCTTTTGGTAGCAGAACTGTCACTTCCTTCTCCTGCTCAATGACTTCCAGCTCACACTCCTGGCTCTGCAGAAAGGAGATAAAGCACTTGTTAGATGAGGGCCCCATCAGCAGAAACCATTTAGCATTTCTCTTCCTCAACCCCATTCTCTTATCCTGCCAGCCCTGTAGCCCCATAAGTAGCAAAACCACATCCCCATCACAGCACTTTATAACACTCCCTAATTAATCCTCAGCCCCAAAGTCAGGTGCACCTCATTGCCCTACAGCCTCAGCATTCACTCCGAAGTAGCTGGGAATGATGGCTCTGTGCCTGCAGGCAGGAGACCCTTCCTGTGGGGGTGGGAGAGTAGGACATTTGCTGTCCTGTCAGAATGACCAACAACATTACTACACTTAATTCTGTTTGATTATTAGGCTAAATGCTGATGGTTTTGCTCACCCCTGTGTACATCCAATGGTCAGCTTATCTCCACTGCAATCCCCTCCAGCTGCTTGGCAGAGAGGGGCAGGCAGGGATTGAGACCAGCTGAGTGGTTTTCTATCAAACCCTCACAATAACTGAGGTGCTGCCTCCATTGAAAGGCTGCCTGAACCTTCTCTGGGGTTGTTATCAGCTGGCAGAAAGCAACACGATTAGGAGCTGAATTGCCAAAAGACAAACATGGGGCAGTGCTGTGGGCAGGAAGGCATGAGGGGCCCTGTTGTTTGCAGGGATCCCGCCCAAGATAAGCATTTTGACATGCCAGTGTTTCACTGTGTGTTTTATGTTCAGAGCAAGGAAAGCCTGGTTCTCCTTGTTAAAAACAAAACCAACCTGTCAGAGGGAAAAAAGAATGGTAATGGTGAGCTAGGACGATTTCTGTCCCAACAGGAGGAAGCAGACCCTACCTCCATTGCCTCCAAGTGAGAGAAACCAGCCTCATCTTATGGAATTTATGGGTTAATGAAAGGTGTTGGAGGATGGGAAGTGGCACAGGCACGAGGCAATGTGCCTACAGTTCTACATGGCTGGTGGGAGCAGCCAGGTCTGCCAGCTCCTGCTCTATCACTGGTATTTACCTTTGGGAAGGTGTGGAGAAGAGGAATGACGGAAGCACATGCTGGATGTCTGAGCACCATGGCTGCTGTGAATGAGTGCTTTTACTGCTGTGAGCTAATCAATAGTGATCAGCCTGTGCCTGGCCATGACTGCCCATCAGCATGGCATGGCTTTTACTCCCAGGACAGCTCCAGTGATGTACAAATTGGGAGTATGTTTTGCATCGTTTTCTATCTATGTTTTAAACCAGATGTGGGCTATCAATATTAACAATTCACATTTTCAGCCCTTTATCCCTTATATTGAGTGGGCACAATATCCCTTATATTGAGCACAATAGAGTGACATCATACAGCTGGGCAGCAAGACACAACAAAACCAAAATCAGAATTTACCCATTACTTTGCAAGCTCAGGGGATGTTGGGGGACAGGAGAGCTTTGTGGCAGAGCTGTGCAGCTGCCTGCCTCATCACCTCCATCCCTGACCCTAAAACAAGCCATCAATTGTTATGCAGAAAGGGGAAAAACATGGAGATCCTGGACCAGTCTGTACGTTGTAATCTGGTCATAAATGGGCTAAGTTATTTAGACTAAGAAGAGGTCATTTAAAGCCTTAAGCAGAAGTCTTCTTCTTGTGTATTCTTCATGCTTATTGAATGAAATAAGCCCACCTCAGCCCTGAATGGAGGACAGGGCTGGGTAGTGTCTGTGCTCCAGGCTTTGGCTCCTAAGACTTGAGTGGATTCAGTGCCACAGGGGAAAGGGTTCTGCAGATGCAATGTGCATGGGGTGTCAGGGAAATGTGAGTCATTTACCAGGCTAAATCACAGCCTGAGAATATGCTCCTGATACATCAAGTTGTTCAAGCCATGGCAGTTACTGGGTTGCTTACAAAATACAAAGAATTGTTGGGTGAACTTAAATAGAACAGCTTGGAAATTTTCTTTTTGAGGGTGTAATAACTGTGCTATTCATTACTCCACCCCAGAGACTAGCAGTGACTCCACAGGCCTTGAAGCAGTTTCTATTTGTGACAGCATTATTAGAAGCTTTTCTGGTGTGCCCCTAAATAACATCTATGGAATGAGACCCCTCCTGACATCCTCCAGCCTCTGCAGAGCTGTGCTGCAACAGCTGCCTTGTGTTCACCTGTAATGGATCCTCCAAGGACCTGCCTGAAGCCGCTGGGCTTTCACATCTCTGCCTATTCGCCGTGCCCACAGCAGAAACTGGTCACTCCCACCATGCTATGAGCGTGTCACACTCTGCAGGACCACAGCTATAATTCAAGCAGGGCGTACATCCCACAGCAAATATGTATCACTGTTTCTTTTGGCACAGCAGCAGAACGAGCCGGCCTAATTGCTGGAGGCACTCTGCAGTGTTAGAAACCTCAGCCTGCCATCGAAACAAGACTGCAGACACTCGCAGCCTCAGCCGCATCGCCCTCTCCTTGGGTCTGGGGCTGTGCTTGAGGAGCACGGAGCAGCACCTCACACCATGCTGCTATGGGGAAGAGCTCAATGCCTTGCTTTCTTCTCTCTGTCACGCTGATCAGCCCCTCTGCTGGAAAGACAAGGCTCTGAAAGGCTCAGAGGATTAGCAGAAGTGATATCTGAGAACAGGCCTCGGTCAGATGATCGCAGGAAAGAACCTGAGGATCTGGAAGTGTATGGATGGTTTTGTTGGGACAGGATTAAGGGTGAACCCTGCGTGCTGAGGATCGGGTTCGTGTGGGAGGGCACCGCATCGCTCTGATGTGTGGGAGAAAAGCACACAGTGTCTTGAGCAATGGAAATCCCTGTGCTGAGCAAGTGTGGCAACAAAAGAATCCCAGCCTGCAAGTTTTAGTGGAGAAAAACCAACAGTAGCAACAAATGTGACACCTGAACCACTGTGCTTTGACCCATCAGTGACGGTAACGATAAGAGGTAGTAAAAACCAGCATTCATACATCAGCATCTTTCAGGAAAAGCGAGAATGTGGAGCAGGCTCCTCCAGCTGAGCTCAAGCTGAGCTCAATGCAGCAATGCCCAGGAGCAGCACAGGGAACCCACGGGTTGGCTGCGCTGCCCAGCAACCCGCAGACCCTGAGCGGTGTGCACTGCATGCAGCCCACAGAAACAAGCCCCCTCCTCACCCCGCTGCCTGGCAGACATCGTTACCCCCATCCCAGCTCACAGAGCACAGCCACAGCCACATCACACTCCCACAGCACAGAGCAGACCGGCAGGCGGAGGCAGCACTCAACCCCAAGCACAAAAAGTATTTCAGCAGGTCCCGGCAAAGGCTTTGGGAAATCCTCACCTCCTCTTCAGGCTCGGTGCTCCCAAGGGGCTGATATTTCTGCATGAAGCGAGCAGATGGCCGTTTGGGGAAGAGTTTGGCGAGCACTCCTTCCACCATCTTTGCCGGGGTGGTGGGAGCACCCGGTGCCACGGGTGCTGCTTGGATTGCCCTGCAAGCGCAGGGCTGTGGTTACAGGCAGGGAGAGGCAGTGTTACCTGCTGCCAAGTCACGCCTTCGGCTGCAGGTGCCGGAGGGAGGCTGCACACCCTTCGCCCATAAAGCCAGAGGAAGCCTGTCTGTGTTTAAAGCCTGTCTGTGTTAAAGAGGTTGTGGAGATACTAGAGCATGGTGTGTGTGTGCACAGCACCTGGAGATCACACTGAGGGCTTAGCAGCTTGGGTTTTCTTCTGCTTGGGCACCGATGCACGGTGTGTGTAAGGTGAGCCCCCAGCCCGCTCAGGTGAACCCACTGTGAGTCTGTGGTGCTGATTTATTAAATAGCAAGGTTGTTCACGTGCCAGAGGGGAGTGTTTTCTTAGTGGATCCCAACATACGGATGAGGTTAACCAGCTGCATCCTTTGGGAGATTTACAGCTGCCTGTCAGGGAGAATCATGCTTGGGTCTGCACCAGGAAACCTACAGGAAACACTCCCCCAGGCAGCGTGACTGCAGGGCTCACTGAGGCTTAAACTGTCCCTCTGGGGTAAGCAAACTCCAGGGAAAGCTGTGGTTAGGGAACAAAGGTTATTCCCAATTAAAGGAAAAAAAAATTGTGCCACTATCTGCAGAAGAACAGTTTTCTCCCAGCACCCCAATCTCGCCTGTGGTGCCCAAAGCCTGGCCAACTTCCAACCACTGAACCTTTCAGTGCAGCCTTACTTGCATCTTCCAGGTCCCAGCTCCAGCAAAAATGGAGGAGCTCTAGGGACACCCCTAGATACTGTAAGATGCAGGGAATACTTGTTCCCAACACACCGTGCTCCACTGAGGATTCTGTTCCAAAGACTGAGGGAAGAGCAAAATGATTGGGAAACACTCTGCAAACAGCCAGCCTCTTGTAAAACAAGGCTGGGACTTCCTACCTCTCTCAGCTCCCGATTGAGAAATGCTTTCTTAATGACCCGAAGCGGATGCGTCAGGCAGATGAAGGAAGTTCCTGCATCACTGCAACAATGCTCCTTCCCATGGGAAAACAGCCAGGATCATGCTGGGCACTGATTTTCTGGCAGTTCATATCCAGGTCTTCAGGGCCTTAGTCAGGGCTTGAAGGCAGCCAGGGCTCTCAGAGGCACTGGGAAGGCTCAAAACTTACTAAAATCTATGGGAATGAGGTGCAAATTATCCCAGTATTCAATATGCATTTGACTATTTTCTCTCCTTCTGTAGCTCTTGCAAAGAGCAGGAGTGCATCCAGCTGGCTTAACCATGGTCCTGATAAAAAGAGAAGGAGACTACCTGACAAGAAAATGCATCCCTCTGGTCATCTGAGCACGTATGTTATGGGCACAGCCTTGGGGTCCTGTTGAACCATCCCTCATGTCCTGATAGAAAAAAACATGAAAAACATTTCCTCCCTGTCTGTGCCTGTAGGAAAGATTTGCCTGAGCTTGTCCTTGCTTTTCTGACCCCCAAACCTCTCCCACCACCTATACAGCCAGCACATGGTAAAGGAGCAACCGATAGGCAAAACCCCAGCTCCTCCTGAGGCCAGCTTTGTGCAATGTGTGTGGGTTGTACAATCCCAAGTGTGGCTCTCGTTAGCCAAGTGCTGCTGACAACGCAGCTAATTGAGCAACAGGCTCTTGTTGCTGGTTTCCTCCTATAACTTCCTCCTCTTGGCACAGAGCTGCTGCTTGTGGAGAGACACGTAGCTCAGTATTGAATAAACAACCCAAAGAAGAACAAAATCCTGAGTGTATGTAGGGTACAGAGGCCAACATGCCACGGCCCCAGTGAACATTGGGGCACCTACTGGGTGCTAAGCACTGAGGTCAGGCAGAGAGGTGACACAGGATTGTAGAATATCCCTTGCTGGAGGGGACCCACAAAGATCATTGAGTCCAACTGCTGGCCAGGACTAAACTGAATCAAGACAATAATGTAAAGAAAACAACACTGATAGAAGCTGTTTTTCTTCATTCTGGACTAACACATTTTTCACACTACAGAAAAAAAACACCATAGCAATTATAGTTTTTTCTATTATTTCCTATTTTCCTATTATTTCTTATTACTGTGGAGAGGAGGGTTCAGAGGGTGGGGAGGCACAGGCACAGGTTGCTCAGAGAAGCTGTGGATGCCCCATCCCTGGAGGTGGGGCCCTGGACAACCTGATGGCAACCTTTGCCCATGGAAACTGGATGATCTTTAAGGTCCCTTCCAACCCAAGCCATTCTATGATTCTATGTGCAAGCTCAAAAAGTTACCTCTGGATGCTGCTTTCTGTCCAAAATGGAGCATTTTGGGCTCTGGCTCGTGTGAGACAAGCACAGTCCCCTTGTGAGCCCCTCTATGGGTCACAGACCAATATCTCACCCCAGCCTGGCAGCATGAAGGCTTGATCCAGAGGAGGATTTGTCAGCAAAGCAGTGTAGGCAGAAAGCTGGCTAAGTACCACAGTGGGCTGCTTCAGTCCCAGAAGCCCTATGGATGGGTGCAAAATCTCTGCAGCATGTGGGTGGCTCGGTCTCCTTCACCTGCTTCCCTCTCCATATTCTGGGCTGGTCACACTTTTGCTCCTCTTCTGCCACCTTGAGGGAAAAAAACTCTGCTGCATGGGACTGATGGATTTTGCTGCTGCTCAGGTGTCCAAATATTCTGCTTTCAGGTCGAGTTTTTCCCATGCCCCTGAGCAGAATAACCACTGCTGCCTGTGGGAACAGCAACCTGCCCCCATGGGTCCTTCTTGGCACATCCTTCAAATGAAAAATCTCTTTTGATGAGAAAAAGAGAGCAGTGTGTTGTGCAGCCTAGTGTGAACAGCGAGGGGTAGCAGAGCAGAGGGTTTTTTGACTTGAAAGCTCACAACCTGTTATAACAGCAAGAAACTAAGATATAGGCAATGGTTCCTTTCCATGTTTTCCAGTGCTGTTGATACAGGGCAGATAATAACCTGTCTTCGTTATTATTCAAGATCTGCCCCTAGTTATGCCACTGGGAAGGAAAGGGGAATTTTTCTAAAATCTCTTGGTTTCTGCTTGCACAGCCTCTGCTTCTTAAGCTGGGAGACCTGTCTGGTGGGGTGGCCCTGGCCAGGTGCAATGAGCCCCCATCAATCCTGCCTCCAGCATGGAAAATGCCAAAAGGCCTTGTTCCTTCTTACAGCTTTTCCCATAAGGTTCTTGATACTTCATCTCCACAAGCTAACGGCAAGGAGGAAATGATGGGAAGAAAGAGGACTTAACCTCTGTAGACTCATCAAGAAAAGGTGTCTTTAAACGTGGCTTTAAACAATGCTACAATCCCTTTAGGTTCTCCTTGCTGTACCCTGTGAGTCCAGCAAAGAGCTCTCCTCTGCGATTAGAAAAAAATGGAATAACTTTTAAAACACAAAGTGCTTCACAACCATATTGTCAGGACTCTCTGCTATTAGGGAAATGAAAGGCAGGGGTATTCGACCTTTTTTGTTCTTGCACAGTTTGCCAGAGACAATCGATGCTCACCTGACACCACCTCCAGAGAAAAGTCCAGCTTGAGTACATAGTGTGAGATGGTAGAGCAAACAACCCCCATGAGCAAGTCCTGCTATGTGTGCCAAGGCTCCAAAGACTCTTCTGTATGTTGTCTCAACCTTATAGACTTCTTCACATTGCATGGAACTGTGGAACAGCTTCCTGAAAGTAGCCAAGCCCCTTCTGCACCATCGTCCTTAGTGGTATTCTGAACTAGGCATGTAAAAATTACAACATTTTGTTGTAGTTATTCTCATATTTACAACTTCTGCAGATTACTGACCTAGTGATGCACTCTGCAGTGTTACTGCAGATCTCTGACTTGCTAGATATCTGTTGCAACGTTCATTCTTCAAAAGCTGCTGGGCTTTTGGATGTTCTGTACTTCAGTGTCACTCACAGCCCAGCATCAGCCTCTCATTTCGCTTGCTTATCCACTCTTACAGGAAGCCTTGGCTTCCCACAAAGCTGCCTGAGCAGCTACCCGTGCAGTGCAAAGCACCTGAGCTGACAGCTCAAGGCCATCCGACAGTGAATGACATCTCAGAATTGACACGGATGTCACTGGGATAAATGCCCAGTCCATTGAAAAGGTCACCTTTTATCTGCCTCATCAGTCCTGCTCTCCTCATAGCACTTTCTACCAGCCTGAGCAGAAGAAAAGAAGATTCTAAGAACTTCTGCCCCACAGAGGTGGTCCCTCTGGAAGGAGACACTGGTGGTGGTGGATGTATTTTTGGATCTGACACACCCCTTCCCTTGGACAAAACTGTCTTCCTGTGTTTCCTCAGCTTCCTTAAACTTTGTTCTTTCTTTTCAGAATTTAAAGCAAAGCACCTGTCAAGAACACACAACCAAAACTAGACAGAGCTGGAAAATATCCTGGTCACGTTTTTATTGAGCACCAAAGTGGCAGAGCCTGCACCCATCAAGCATAGGATGCATGTATGGGAAAGGGTCTACCTGGCTCTGCTGCTGGTCCTCAGCTCCCACAGGGCAGAGCAGCTCCAGCAATGTCAGCAGTGATGTGTGAGGATCCAACAGGCTGCAGGCATTGCCAGCACACAGAGATACTTGTGAAGTTGATCATAGCACCAAACATGCTTCAAGATGTACATGGGGACAAGGAAAACAACCTACATTCGCTCTTTCCTACTGAGCTTCGTGAAACTGTTGCTAAGCCATTTGTCTTTGGAGAGAAGAGAAGATGAAGACAACTCATTTGGTGTGTGCTTCCTTTCCAACACGATGGACAGTGCTGTTGAAAACACAGCATTTATACAAGCTGCTTCTGGAGCTTCTGTTGCCAGGTCTGACAGCTGATAACTTGAAAAGAATTAACTTGAAGAAGCAAACACAATAGCACCACAAGGAAGGGCGATGTCTTTGATAATATCCGGTAAACAGAAGTTCATTAGGAACACTTTGCAATTGGAAAAATATCTTTACCAACTCATCCAGCAAAGTGGTCAGGTATGCGCTTTCTCCTGCTACAAAATAACAACCATTGCAGTGAATGCATCCACTAAAATCAAGTGTATTCTCGGATAAAATTATAGCAGTAGATCTGTCCGAATGTGGTGTTGCATTTAATAACTAGAGCTTGGAACAAAGGAATGGAAAGTGGAAGGCAATTCAACAAATTAAGAGATTTAGGAAAGCGTGGAGCCTTTCATCTGTTCTTTTACTCCATAAAGCACTGAGGAACACGGCTGTTTACAAAAGGAAACGAAGAGCAGTTTGGAAACTTTCATCTCTCCAGCTGCAAATGTCATATGCAAAGTATCAAGTGTTTTATAAGTATCCGAGCTTTAGCTTAAACCATTCTGTGAATGGAAAAAATCTCACAGTTTGTGGGAGGAAGCAAGCACTTGTATTCGTGAATTGGGTATTTATAAACACCACTACTATTCTGCATATCCAAATGCTAATTTTATGCGTGCAGATGGAGGATGTGTACTAAGCAAGGGAGCCAAAATACCTCCCTTTGCCTAGCAATTTTGACTGATTTGTCAGAATGAAATGCTATGATCCCTTTAGGAGCATCTGTAGAAATGGAAAACATTCCCAGAAAATGTGTTTTCCATTTCATAGTGCTAAACAGCTATAAAAAGCTGTAAGGCCAAAACACAAATAACATGACCCTAAGGACTCATGGATTTGACATAAAGGTACAGGACATCCAGAGAGCAGCAGCCCATCTGCCAGACAATCCTTTTGAACACATGTATTTATCCTGATTTTGCTTTTCTAAGACGTGCATGCATAATCCAGACTTCAGCCCCACTGCTGAGGTTTTGCAGGTACAAAAGGACAGACACATTATTTGGGAGTATTAACTCAGGTGGCTAAAACAACAACTGTAAAAGGCTGGCAGATGTGTCTCTAACAGCTTAGACATTGCAGAAAGAAATCTATTCATTAGCTCACAGCCTACAATTCATCAGAGAATTGAGAAGCTTAAGGAAAGTAACTTAAAAAAAATATTTAAAAAACCTGTTTTTTTCCTACCTCCCCACATCCTTAAGATTTCAGCTATAAATAGGAAAAAGGAAACCTGCAGGTTTCTTGATGCTTGTGAGAAGACTGATGTAAAGTAGTTGTCTGAGATAGGCAGGGACTGGACTTGATGCAGAGAACTCCTTTAGTCTTCATCTTGATTTTGTCATGTTACTTAATATTTTTACACTATTAAATTGTGTTGGTTGTGAATCTGAATTGGTCACCTAAGACACACGTAGAGAGCAGGCTGTGTGCCAGCAGCCTGACAAGGGCACTGTGGTTTGCAGGTGTTCTCTCCGTGGTATTTACATTTCTTCAATGGGAAGGCAGCTCATAAACAGTGTGGTTTCTTTCAGGGATCACATTCCTCCCCATGCTGACAGGTTTAAAATCTAGACTCATCCTGTTTCTTGAAAAATCAAAGTCTTTATCATTGATGGGCGGGGATCAGGGTAATGCTGGAGATGGCCTCATGGAGATTTGGGACTAGAATTCTTCCAAAACATAACTGTTGAGTAAATCATTCCTTGAAAGCTGCTTAATAGAGTGGTCCAGCTGGGTGAAAATTCAAACAACAAAAAAGGAATTAAAATATTTATCCTTATGAGGATGTTTGTATAGAACTCGTCCTTACGTAGCCAAGGAGTCTTAATAGTCATCCTGACGTAGGTACAAAAAAGACACAATTAGCTGCTTTGTTTTCATAACTGCCCATTAAACTCAACTTAGTTTTAAAATGAAGCTAACAGCGTTAAGAATACCAGATTGGAACAGAATCTTTGCTATAATAAATATTTTCAGTCTTGCCCAATTCAAAGGCTGATAAAACACAATGGAGCACTTTCAGCTGGCTTTGGTCTGTCCAGACACAAGTTCATTTGCCTGAACTGGTCACATTGTTGAGGACAACTCTTCATGCACATAAAGTTACTCCTTTAAGTCATCCACATATGTTAGCATTTGCAAGATTGACCCTTACTTATAATCCACCTGGAATAAAGCTTTTACTTTCTTGTAGCATCAGTCATACCTATATTAAAAGAAGCCCCTAAACAAAAAGTTTGAGGTCTTAAATCTCACAAATTTTTGCAGCACTTTTTACCCTGAAGATCACCCCATCCTCTAAATGCCTTGAAAGCAAAGGGTACTTGAAAAAAATCAGGTTCATCTTGTGAAATTAGAAGAAAAAGTGAGAGGAAGAGAGTAGAAGTTGGGAAAGACATTAACTTCTCCATGAACATTTTGCAGAGCTCTCTCCACAATGCCTCAGGTTCTCAGGACAATTCTACAGCACCATCTGTTTGTCTGCAGCAGTGTTTGAGCTCTATTCTTAGAGCCCTAAGTATGCATCTATGCAAAGGATGAAGGTGTTGTCCTTACAGTCGTGTTCTGATGAAAGGTAATTTCAGCCTCAAGCAACTTTTTCTTTAAATAAGTGCTTACTAAGCACTAACTATTTCCACCCAGCTCTCCCTTTACTCACAGCACACTTACCCAGGCGTACTTTTGATTAACCCAAATGCTTCTGCTGGTTTTTCACATAGCCAACCACATTGTTGGAATTGCTGCCTGTAAAACAAAACTCTGTAAGGTCAGATTGCAGATTAGTCTGCAGCAAAAAATAAAGATTAAAAAAAAAAAAAGCTAACTTGCTTGGAAAAAAGACTGTTTTTGACTGAGTTCTGTATCCATCTGCAATGAGTCCAGAGCCATGACCAAAGCTCCAAAAATATACTTTCAGATAACAAAAGGATTGTAGGATTGGGTGTTTCTCAGCCCTTAGGTGGGAACCCCTAGCAGAAGGCTGTATTATTCAACAGTGTGTCACAGCTGGCAATACTGGCTCCCAAGAGTCCCACAATCAAGGCAATGCAGATCTGAAAACAAAATCTTTTTGACCAAGGCATGGAGCCTTGAGATTAAAGAATATCTTTTTGCTATTTGCAGACCTTCATTTCATAAGCAGCAAATTCACCATAAACAATGCAATAACTATAAGGCTTTCATGCCAATTGCTTACCAAAATACTCCTTGTAATACTTATGCCTCAGGTTGCGTCCATCTGAAAAAGAAAGTACATAATGACAACACACCAGCCAGCCTTCATGCTCTGAGTGGGCTATTACAACGTCCTGTCCTTTTCAGTAGCTGTGAGTTAAGGAATCACAGATTTCCACAAATAAAAGAAAATCTGGTTAAATTTCAAAGTGGCTATTAGTGATCTACGAAGTTCAAGTTCCAGATGACTTTTCTTTGGTTCCCATTATTTAATCTCCTAGAAGCAGCCAGTATTTAAGAACCACACAGCTATGCATTATATTAGGGAGGGTAATAAAGAAAAAGATATGAAATAATAAAACCAAAGCACAAACCCCACATCTTATTGGAGTTTGCTTGACAGAAAAAGGAAGGAAGGTTTCCAGTCAACTGACCTGGATTTCCACGGAGCTTGATGCACTGGCCCCTGTTAGGGATTCCTTCAGCTGTGTTGCCAGGGTTGATGATATGGCACTCATACCCTGTGGGGCAATGCAGAGGCTCATCGCCATCCTCAGTGGTGCTGCAGGCCTCAGCTGCGAAAAAAGCCTGAAGGTCATAAATTGTGGCTTTATCACCCACAGGTAAACAAGACAGGACAGCACAGCCACTTTCTTCTGTGCCTTCTCCCAGACAGGATGCTTCCTAAGACTGCTTCAGACTACTTCCCAAGCAAGGCTATCAAAGAGCTAACACCTCCAAAGACATCTGGCACAGTGGAAGATCAACTTCACACCTTACACAAAACCTGATGTGTCCAACTCAACATGGGGAGTGTAGACCAGCCCAACTATTGGTAACCCCACCCTACCCACAGCCTGTTTTGTGGGGTCTGTGCTGGACAGCGGTGGAAATAAACCACATTTGATGGTCTCTCGTGGGTGGTCTCACCATGCTGCTCTTGCCTCCAAGCAGCCATACCTCAGTTTCAGTGTTTTGGGCTGGGTGAGGAATTTGGGGAAATACGAGCAGGAAGCTGGCAGTTTGCTGCTTTGTTCTTTGCTCCACACCCAGTACGGTACTGATGAATCTGAACCTCAAATGTGACTCACTGCAGAGTAAGGCAGCACCACCCCCTGTTGCCAACAGAGGCTTCACGCATCTTGACCCTGGATATCCAACAAGTGTGGAGCAGAATAAGAAAGTAAAGCAGGTCTCACAGGCTGTATCTGCACACATGAAGTGTACAGGCTATGCCAGGACACTCCACCCTTTCATTTGCCAGAGTTTTAATTTTAAGAACCTCTGCTGTAATTGCCATGCCATGACTGATGAGTCTTACTTCACCAATTACTCCCTCGAGCTGAGATAAGGTGACAAAATAAGAATAAATAATGCAAGCATGACAGGGATGGATGAGGAGGGACTTATTTAATCTTATTTCTAGAAGTGCAACTCCAACCAGCTGGAGGCAGAATTTTCTCTTGAAGAACTGGGTGTTTCCATAATGGATGAGAATCAAGGTTCAGTGAGTCTGATACCATCTGTGTAGGACCAAAGAGGATAATTTACTGGCACTACCCGAGTCTGACTAAAGCTGATCAAAAGCCAGAACAGACTTTCCACCATGAAACTGAGAACTTCAGGCATCCATACATTTCAAGATGCCTCACAGAAGAAAATTTCCTGCCTCCCCACTGTCTCATTGCTTCATTTTGAAATAGGTTTCATATTTGAAAAGTGTAATTAAAAGAAGTCCTTTCTCCGTGGAACTAACTGAGAAGCCCAGTCTCATCAGCAGTCCCCAAGCATTGATGCTCCCAGCAATGTCAGCCTCACTCAGCTCTGCAGCACTTTTGCCAAGGCTCTTGTTTAACGCATGACACAAGAGCTGGCGTTGAGCCCCCATCCCAGGGCAGAAGTGTGAGGAGGCCACTGCAGGCTATGGCATCTCCTAAACTATGTCTGCCCATAATTCATCAGGCAGCTAGTGGAAAAATCTGTGTATGTCAAGGAAATTTTTTCTGAATATATATATATATTTCTGCTTATTTCAAGAATGGATAAAAATCCCATTCCCAGGAGTACTCCTAGAGGTCTGCTGCCTCCAAGATCTCCCCTGTGTGCTGCACTTGGTTTTGGAAGGGCAGATCTGATCAGGCTCTCCTAGTACAGGATTTCCGGCCAAACCCATAAAAAGCAACTGATTTACTGCATCAGAAACTATTTCCCTGCACAACACAGTGTTATTTGAACAGAAACCCTAGACAAATACCAGCAGCCCCAGCATGTCAACAACACTGGCAAGCTCTATGACAAATATATTATTTACTGCCTTTTGCATAATCACTCGTCTCATGGAGAAGACAGTGAAATGTACTGTACCTTGTAAGACTTCCTCTGGGCCATCCAAAAGCCACCCGTTTCCTCCCAGCCAGCGGGGTTTGGGCTGAACCAACCAGTCCAAAACTGTAAAAGAAACAAGAAACTACAGAGTCAAGGCAGGCACACTGCTATGGAAAAAATCACAGATATTCTGCAACTGGCAGTGATGAAGCTGCTGGTATCCTGAAGGACAGATTTGAATGGATCCTCCATTCCCATTGCATGGAACAGATGAGTTGGTTGCCTGGCTCCTGTGAGCACTAACTCAGATTGAGATTGTACTTTTTAAAAATTTTGAATATATAATTTTGAATATATAATCCCAGGAAAATAACTGGCTTCATTTGCACTGGTGGACATTGTGCAGCACCAGCTGATTGGTCTTAGCTCATTTTTGATTCAACAGTCACCCCAAATTCACCTCCCAGAAATCAGAAGTGCGGGACTGAAGTTTTATCCTTGACTCCTGCTCAAATCATGCTTCAAACCAGCAACCTGTGATGCTTGGGGATGCCCCAAACCAGAATTTCTACACGTTTCTCTCTACCACACTTGACTGGCATTACCTGGTGGGGGCTGCACAGACTCCAGGCAGGCGTAGATGCAGCCGTTGTAGCAGCAGCGCTTGTGCCTCTCGCACTCGGAGTCGGAGCGGCAGCTGGGCACCTCACAGGCTCTGTCTGGCAAGGTCTGGGGTGGCGGTGGGCAGCGGTCGTTCTTCTGGTAGTGGGCACTGTGAGAATGAAGAGGGTACTCATAATCCTTGCAAAGAAAAGAAAAGGAAACAAAGGTTTGGCATAAGGCGGATACCAAACAGCCCATCAGTTGAAACAGAAGGATTTTCAGTGTTGGTCTCAGGTACTTTCTAGGCAGGAAAAGTAACTGTTCTGTTTCCCCAACCCTGATTTCAGTGTGCTGGAGACAGAGATATGTGATCACATAACACATTTCTTTGGAAACAACAAGCCATCAGATTGCTGTGTGGAGTTCATTAGTAACTAAGGTGACTGCAATGGCAATGAGGAGGTAAAAATCCTTAAAAGTGGGCATCATCATGACAAGCATCCCAAAATGCTGCTCTGTAAAGCAGTTGAAATGATGACATTGACTTGTTATGAGATTACATCCCCAGAAGGACCTGGATCTAATGGCCAGGTAGTGTCTGTCTCCCAGATAGGCTCCTTCTCCCCTTATCCCATCCTTCTAGACCAGAACGTGGAAGGGAGAGGTTCAAAGTCTTTCAGGCCTGCCCTCTGTGGGGTCTCAAGTTGTAAATTGGAAACCATTCTTAAAACCAGAGGTGATGTGAGTAAGATCTGTGGGGGCGATGGCAGTTCATCACAAAGCAAATGAGGCTGTGCTGAGCTACAGCAGAGAGGAGCCCCACTGCTCACTGCACACAGAAAGGACAGGGAGATGTAAAGAGGATTAACAGGCACAGGATTTTACCAGGAACACTTGTAAGAAGCAGCATTCAGATATTATCTGTGCTGGTGGCATTTAGCAAGAAGCCAGCTCCCCTTTCAGAGGTGAATCAGCCAAGCCTGTTCCTTTCTCACCCTTGGTTAAACTGCTGAGCTTGAGCTTAGCTCTCCAAAGCATCACACGGTGCTCATAAAGGGCAAAAATCAGATCTATTAATACACATTAGTAAGCTCTAGTCAAATCAAAAGACAAGTTCTGGATTTGCCCTTTTAACAGAATCTAGCAAAAGGAAGAACGCAGAGCTGCCACCTGCTCACTGGGTTGAGAGCTCTGTATGTGCTGGGCCCCATCACCCTTGTGTTTCAAAATCAGTGACAAACCATTGGGGCTGTTATTCCAAGAAACAATATGGTGCAACTGTCCTCGAGGGAGTCTCCAGAAAATTTCAACACCAGGCTGTGGAGAAATCTGATGAGACTAACATCTTCCTTTAGCTATTCTGCATTCCAACTGCCGAAAGCTCAGCAGGGCTTCTGTGGAGCATGCGTGTCTCTGCAAAACAGCATGTCACATCACGTACTGCCCCAAAATATGTCCTGGGAGAGGCCCCAGGAGGCAGCCTGCACTCATCCCACATCCACAGGCTGACACTCCCTTTGTAGGTTGAATACAACCAGTATGGTGTAGAGCTCGGAGGAATAAACATCGACCGTCACTCGCATCTCATAGGATTGCTTGCAAAACTTCTGCTTTCCTTGATGGATATGTAAAGGGGCCCACTGTGCTGAGCACCAAAAGAAATAACAACACATATTATTTCTGCTAACAATGGGAGAAGTTTTACTGCCGTGCTCTGCCGTGTATCGTATGTAGGACATAACGCTATCACTAACGTGGTTGCTTTTCCATCAGAGCTGATCCCATTTCTTTGAGTGATAGCTAGGGGGAAACGGAGAGCAGCACATTTCTCAGCTGCCTGCTTTGCAGTGACTGAGTCAGGAAATGCGCAAGTACAGAGCAGAGTCAGGACGAACAAAAGTTTTAATTTATGGAAGAAGGTGTCACAAGGAAAATCCATATCCTGGTTACATCTGTACCTGGTTAGATAATGTGTGTGAATCTGCATGTGGGAGACAGAGAACTGCTAATGTTTCCATAAACAATAGCCTCCTGCCCTGTGCCCACTATCAGCCAGCACCCAATGCCAATATATTTTTTTCCTCCTGTTTTTGCCTTCATTGCTTATACACAGTGAACAAGAAATTGCCCCCAAAGAATGTAAGACAGCATTTAACAGTAAATCTATGCAGTTCCAAACATTTCATAGATCTCCTTATCTGAGGGAGCATGCATCCCAAAAGGTCACAGCTTACCACTCTATTACTGAAATGTCAGCTGCAGGCTCAGATGCAGCTATCGAAATAATACTGGCAAATAATGGATACATGGAAGGAAAAAAACCCAGAGTTACGGCAGTGGCTTTACAAATGATTCAGAAACCAAGAAGCCAAAATCACAATGAATAGTCAGCTTAATGAATGAGATTTCCATTGGGGAACAATGCAAAAGTTTCAGCCAAATTCCTCTGTACTTCTGACCTTGTTGCCCATTTCCTCTGATGTGCTACTGCTCTTAATCCCTCTCTTTCTAAAACTCATGGCCAATAAATTATTTTCGTGGGCTTGGTCTAATGAAAGTACTGCCATTAGTTTATGCCTGCTGAACTCTCAGTGGGAAACAGGATTCCCTCATTCACAAAACAGCCAGCTGCAGACGGCTCCAGGTAGGGGCTGCAAGGTCTCTTTAAAAGCTCTCCTAAGACCTTGGCTTGCTTGGAGCACAGCTTGGATTTATCATTTTTACAGATTGTGACAACTGTCAAAATTTTTCCCTTAAGGAATATTTTTCCATTCAGGAGGCAAATTGTTTCCTGTGGTGTTTCCCATTAATGCTTCCCATTAAATCATTTTTATGGGAAGATCTGCATTAGAGCTATACAGACAGAAGGTAAGGAAGAAAGTTCAGGATTCAGCTAAGAATGCTGGAAGTCAGCATACACGATCAGGAAAAATCTGAATGCAACCACTCACTTTCAACCTGTATTTTCAATAGTGACTTTGAGATGCAGCCTGCCTCCAAAAAATCCCTCATCTCTTCTGTTATGTGCACCTGAAACTGGGTGCTGGGCTTGTGTCAAAGCCCAGTCCTCTGCTCACATGTTACTCCTAGACACATGATAAGTAAGCTAAGCTGGTAGGCAAAGAGCCTACCTCCATGCAGATGTATGATGGCTAGCTGGAGGCTAAGTAAATTGTTGGAGGAACGTTACAGCGGCTGCAAGGAATCTTTCATTACTGGAAATCTTTACAAGAAGGCTGGATTTTTTCCTAAAATGTTTGATGTAGCTGACACTGGAATAAATTCAAGACTGCCCCAGGTTTTCCCAGTAGACATGTGGGTGTCTTGATAACAAAGAAAAGCCCATTCCCAGCTAGCTCCCTTCTCTGCTTTCCAGGAGCATTCCCCTGACTGTGCGGGGAGCTGCAGAACCCCAGCTGCAAATCACTGTGCTTAGTGAGGCCTCTCTGGCTGTAAAATAGACAAGTCTGCTAAAAGCTGGAAGCCCAACTCCTCCATCACACTCTGCCATTTTTCCTTCCCATTGCATTCCCTCTCTTTCCCCTGTCTCCATTCCCACCCAACTCCTTGTCACCAAATAAACCATGCCTCAGAGCCTGTAACAAACAACTCCAAGCCAGTTCCTGACCACAACACCTGCTCGTTGCTCTGCAGCCACTGGTTCAGTGAACACATTCCTCCTGCTGTGGACTTGAATGTTTTCATGGAATCAGAATTATTAAGGTTGGAAAAAACAACTAAGATCATCAAGCTCAACTAATGACCCATCACCACCATGTCCACTAAACCATGTGGATTCAAACACCACTTCCTCTCACCTCCTCCTTTCTCCCTTTCAGCCCTTGCCCATCTCCCCCTGGGTGCCTCCATTTGTTATCCCCTTACACTGACTCACAATCAGCTGTTCCACCCGCAGCCTCTGCTGTCCTAACTGTAGGGAACACGGAGCATTTGGTAGAAAAGAAAGCCTCTCTCAGATGCACGGGGGCTGCCAAAAAAAGCTCTCAGTGGAGAGGGATGGAGGGAGGAGAGCCTTCCTCCTTACAACAGAGGAGAAGGAAACAGAAAGGCATTTGCTGTTTTCCCTAGATAAAACGTTTCTGTCAATGTGAGCCGTTCTAGCGAGCTTGCCAGATCAGTAGCACCTGGATTCATGGCTGCCAGAAAAAACAGCCCTTTGAAGAAGCACGGATTGAAAGAGAAGGATATATCCTCAGGGGAGCGGGCTTTGTGCCTCTACACAGCACATTATCTGAAGATCAACATGTAAATACGTGTTCTGCTCCTGTCCTGTCTCTCTGGGTCACTGACACTGTGATCCTACTGAATTTGAGCTTCACTTTGAAATATGACAGAGGGACATACTAATAAATATGCTTTCCAATGAGCAATTTTGGATGAAACACAGCTTTTTGCTTCATCATTTTCTGAATAAACTGCAGAGCAGACACTCCGTCCCAAGGGAGGCTGCAGCGAAACAAAGTTCTGGCTGGAAAATAATGGGGTACCTTTTAAAACATTAGCACAATTTTCCTGTAAAATGTTGAGGAAAGTGCCATATTTCATTTCATCCAACGTGGGCAGATGATGTACGTCACACTTCTGAGGCAGCAGTCACACAGACTAAAGGTACTTATTCCCAGACATCACTCCAGATGTAATGGGCCAAAAAACATCCACTCTAAACACAGAGCTGCTGTGCGTGGCTGCAGAAGGCAGGTGGAGGAACCTCCTGTGACATAAGGAGCTGTTTATACACATGCAATGGCTGTAAAATGCAGTTAAATGAGAGAACACAGATAGACTGGGACATGTCCCCATGCCATTCGAGTGGCAGGAGCTTTGGGTCAGCGTTGGCTTCTAAGGGAGTAAGTTGGATTTTTCAAATTACTTTTTCTTTTCTTCTTTTCCTTTTTAAGCAGCAGGTCCTGAAAGTCAGATAGCAAGTCATCTTAATTCTTTTTTCCTTTCCTCCATGGCCATCTCTCACAGCCGTTTTGGCCCAGACACAGCACAGTGACACTCAGCACATTATTTCCTCTATTCTCAGTAACTTGTTGCTGCTCCAGTTTCAACTCCTGCTCCAGTTTCAACTTTAGCGCTATCACTCCACGACAGATTTGGAAGAGGTAGTGGTTGTGCTCAGTCCCCCAGTGGTGAGTAACAGGGCTCTTGTTCCCCTCTGACACACTGGGCAGGCACTGAGGTGCTCCAGTTGGAGATATTTCCCCAAAGTTACCCCAAAAGGCAGTGGAAGATCAAGGCAGGAAACCCTTCTGAAGATAATGACGCTATCCCTTTTGCACTAAACCTGTTCCCAGACACATCAATTTTGCATTCCCCTTTCCTTCCCTTGCTGCCCTATGATGTTTCTAGGAAAAGCAGCAATGACTGCAGCACCAATGTGTTTTTGGCATGCTGCACAAGTTTCCTATCACAGCAGCTAGGTGGCAAAAGTTTCGTACAGCTTGGGAAACTTCACGCAGCCCTTTTATAAAGAGATGGGGTGTGGATTCAAACGTTCCTTATTCTAAAACACATACATAAAGAAAAATTCCATCTCAGGGTGAGCACACCCAGCCCCCAAACCACCCCACCGCAGCCTACTCACATCGTATTTCTCCGTCATTTTCAGATGCAGAGCTCGTTTCCAGAGATTCCTTGCACAGCCTGAGTCTGCCAGCAGAACGAAGACACACAAAGCCACAGAGAAGATCTTTTTGCAGAAATGCAGGTCTGACAGCATCTTGGAATCCATTTTCCCAATGAGAGATCAAGTAGAGAGCTCGGCTTCCCAGGATCCGGGCGACTCAGAGCGCTGGCAAGGAGGGAGGGAGAGGAGAGGGAGGGAGCGTGAGGGCTGCTTGCTGGAGAGCTCTGTGCTGCACGGCTTCTGGGAAGGGAAAGGGGGGGGAAAAAAAAGGAGCCTGCAAGCAGAAGCCAGGAGCTGCTGTTGAACTTCTTTCTACAAAGTTAGATCAGGTTCTCGGCTCACATGTTCACACAAAGCACACGCTCTCCTTGAATGATAGATGGGAAGATTACTTGGAAAGATTATTTTTAGACCTTTGTTCCCAACATCTGGCATCCTCAGAGAGCCCCATTCAAAGCCAAAGCGTGGGATCAGATGACAGCTGCCGCAGGGGGAAATAAAGGTCCTGGAGGGGTGGGCTCACAGCAAACAGCTCACCCAAACTTCCCCACTACTCAGCTCTCCCTTTGTGAACTTCCCACTGTGCCCTGAGCTGTGGTTTTGGATCGTGTTTTGACAAAGTGAGAACTTCGTATGAAGACTGCTTGAAGGAAATGACTTAAAGACATGATAAACATGCAGAGGCTTTAATTAAACCAAGTTGACGTTAGCTTTCCACAAATGATTTTGAAGAAAAGGAAGATGCGGTCGATGGGTAAAAATAAATCCATGTGCATGGGTGGGGAATTGGGAAGGAAGGAGCTTTAGAAATGACCACATGGAAAGTGAGGAAGGGGCCATGAGTCAGCCCATGCCTGACCACGGGAGGGACAGCCAGCCTGGCTGTTGGGTGTGAGACACGTATATGGACATTGAGGTGCCTGGGTGTCCAAAGAACAGGGACAACCCTAAGGAATCAGGCTGAAAGCATCATGCCTGGGGCAGGGACAAAGGCAGGTGCCAAAGAGCAGGAGAGGAGGATACCTGGTACATAGATACAAGCACATACATAAACGTCAGCTGAGATCAGGAGTTGTGCTGAGTTACTGAAAGGCACGCTCAGTACATCCACAGAGGAATGTATTGGTACCATCAGTCTTCTATTTGTGACTTTATTTGTTATCGCTCAGAGGGCTTTGTCTCATGCAACAGGATGCCTCCAATTCTTCTTAAAAACAAATCTCCCTTGTTCCCTGCAATGTTAATATCTGCAGCTTGACAAAGCACCTTTCGAGCACAACCAGGAGCTCCCACCAGCGTTCTGACTGCCGTGTTGTAAAGAGACAAATGACATAGCTAGGTCAGAAGAATAAACAAGGCTTTTTCTTACAGTATTGCTACTTAATTTTAGTCTTTGTGCTATTTTACTTGTCTGATCTCTTGCTGAAACCTAAACCAGTGTGAAATAACTGCTCACAATAAATCTCCCTAATTTCATTGTTGTTCGTTTCATAGACTTGCAATCTGGACTTGGAACAACTAATTCTAAAGATTAATAGCTACTACAGACAACATTTACTGGCCCTTATTTTGGCTGATATGAAGCTTTGCCATTTACGCAGGAGAAAGTACGGTCTGTGAATTACAGTTTTGGATTGTATGTTGAAGAAGCGTGGATTCTCCTCCAAAGAACATATTCCAGCAGATAGTCATGATCTTCCTATAAAAATCAAAGCTAGCATTGTGGTATGTATGTCTCCCACACATCACACTTTTCATCTTTACCTCCCAAGGTACCTGGATTGGATTATTCCAACTACCAGCTGGGGAAACTGAGGCATGGGTAAGGGATTGGCTGAAAATAAACTTCCTATCTTTGTGGCCAGAATCCTAAGGGTTACAAACAGTGCAGGCTGAGCTGGAGCCTTGTGCTTCAATGTTTAACCCTCACATTTAATAGAGAATGCTTCACAACACCCATTCCCACTCCTCACACACTTCTATTCCCACCCTGCCTTGGAAAATGGGCAAGGGATTTCAATTTTTTATAGCATTAAGAAAAACTGTTTCAGCTGGAAAAGTTGGAAAGAATATATTTCTTGGCTTTTCTGGGAATTTTTCTCCCTGGTGGTCCCTGGCAAGGCTGTCTTCCCAAGTCCTGACAACTGGAATAAAAGAAATAAGTATAGAGGTGTATAGGTCAGTATATTAGTGCTATGGTAGTATATTAGTGCTGAGCAATTAGCTCAATGAAGGCGTTAAAATAAAAATCTATGCTTCCAACCAGCCTGACTGACCAGCTGCAAACTTGGGTGTGAGCCCAGCGGAAAGCACATTTTGTGCTAGTGGAAGTTTTCAGAGTGCTCAGCTGTGCCATTTATCATAAAACCGTTTATTCTTATACCTGTCCAGGGAACACACATATATTGCCAAGTTATCTCTGCTTCAAGATTTGTGGTGTAGTTCCTCACACAAAATTCCCGCTGCCTTCAAGGATGTTAAATGAGATAGCTTCATTCATCACTAAGAAAAGGGCTTTCTTCCACGTACAGATCTCTGCAAATCTCCATTCCACAAAAGGCTTCAATGGGGAAGATTCTGCAGTCACATGAACTGCAGTCAGATGATGATGTAGGAACGTGGCTGAACGTCTCCCCAGGATCTGAGAAACCTTCAGCATCATATGTTACAGCAAGGAGGAGCTGAGGGAGATGTATGTGTATTGAAGGGCTGGTGTTTTATCCAGCTCGGAGAATAAAGGCACTTCTGGAATCACTTCTGTTGCCTGATTGGAATGAATTAATAATGGTTTTTAAAAATGTTCTCTGGGAGGTTCTGAGTGAAAGTCACGGGGTGTTTGTGCAGCCAGGAAAAATGCCTTTGTCCAGCCAAAAAGCAAGGCAGGTCAGCCCAAGCCAAGACTTCCCCTTTCCCAGAAGAAAGATCTGACTTTTAAGGAACAATTATGTCAAAGAGAGTTTCCTCAAAGCCCGCAGCTCCAATAGCACAGGGTGACTCATTTCAGCATGACACAATCACTATACCTTCATGCCAGGGGCTGCTGCAGTTCTTTATCTGTGGATTTTATAGGCCTGTTGCTTCCTCACCATCCTTGCACCAGTCCTGCTGCCAAAAGCACAGGGCAATGCTCTCCTAGGGGTTAATCAGGCTCGAGGCTGTTGATATTACCAGGTCCTGTGCAAAGGGAAGATCAGCATGCTCTGCCTCTCCCCATGCCCTTCAAAACCAGATTGCAAACCCCTGCAGGTACACACCCAGGTGTTTGGATGGGCTTAGCTGTAAGAAGATTACAATATCCCTGAGAGGTAACACTGGAGATGCTGCTGCCCCTCAAACAGAGGGTTATTTTAGGGCCAGCTCTACAGGAAAACACCAAATCTGGGTTTTTAGTGTGGGTTTGCTCCTTCTGTGATCAGGAAGAGCTTGCCATTGTGTGTGTGCCAGATGTGTGCTACCAGTGAGGTCCCACAGGAATTCACAGGATGAAATACAAGATCAAAAGCAATACAGAACACAGGCAGGTGACTCTCCTTAAGCATCTTGCCTAAAGTCCTCACTAAAAGGTCAATGTTATGTGGCCCCAGTCCATTTGGAAAGGCCTATAAGGAACAATAAAAGTGTTTATACTTTTAACTAGTTTTATTTTGTATAAGCAGATGAATGTTATTAGAGAAGCTCTCTCCTGAATGCTACATCCCACTAACTAAATTAGCAGGAAGTCTTAAAACGTATAATCCAAACATTGCATTCATTATGAAGGGGAAAGGTACCTTGCAGGAAGAAGGCTGCCGGGCTCTGCAGCGCAGTGTGCTGAAAGCTGTGTGCCAGGGGAAAGCTCTGCTGAGTCCAAAGAGTTCCTCTGGGTGGGACTCTGAACCATAGTTCTGGTCCACAGCAGCTGAATCAGGGACTGGAAATCTCAGCAAAATGCTCCAAGAGGACAGATTGCATCCTGAAATGAAAGATGTGGAGCGTTAATGTCTCTCTGTGGGTTTGCAGGGATTTGACACTGAATTCACAGCTCTCTGCTGTGCTCTGAGTAGCAGCCAGGCTGGGGTCCCCAGGGGCAGAAAGGCTGAACCCTGGCTGCCAGGTCTGCATTCTAGGGATTCAAATCAGGACACAGGAGACATGGTATCTTGCTTGGACCATGGTAAGGAACAAATCAGAGTCAGGGACCATGCAATTGTGCGAGCACATATAAATCTTATAAACCCAGCTAAGAGACATGCACCATGGGGAAAATAGGGATCTTACACGAGACACTGAATCACTGAATCACTGAATCACTGGGGTTATTTGATGGCTGGAAGTGTCTGATTCCCTGCGCTGATCCCTGATGGCTTTCTCAGGGCCAGGAAGTTTGGTTTGGGGGCTGCATCTCTGCAAGTCAGAACTTTGCCTGCCTTTAACCCTGAGACAGATAGTTTCCCATCACAAAAGTGTCCTGCCTACATCCAGAAACAGCAACTTATTACACAACATGCTTGTCAGTGGCACCTGCAAACACTGAACCAGGCAGATGTCATATATACATCATCGTGGTGCTTGCAGAGGATTTTCATAAAGGAAATCTTTAACCTCAGCTTCCCATACACCATTATAGGTGAATTCCCTGGTGCTTTACTGTGGCTGCTCAGAGGCAAGGAGTACTTTGGCAAAGGCAGCAAATGATTTCCCATGTCCAACCACAAGGCAAGTGACTCAAGAGCTCTGAAAAAACTCTGTCTCATTATATCAGCTCTGGGGGTACAGCAAATCTCTCCAGAATAGCTAATGGTGGTGTGCACCTCGGGCTGTGCTTCCATCACATCACAATCTCTGTGCTCAGGGAGCACTGCTGCAGCTCTACAGCCATACAGGGACACTAAGACTTGAAGCTGGTAACACTGCTTTCAAATTTCTTATACAAGAGATCCAAGGATTTTGGAGTCTGAGAGTTGCATTTGATGTATTATTCCATTGCTCTTAAGGAGTTTGCTATGAGAAACAGACAGTTTTTCTTGTCTTCTCTTTCAAGGAGAAGGGTTAAATAAGTTATAGAAAATCCCACTTGCCTTTGACCTCCTGATAAAGGTCTTATCTAAAGCTGGCTGAAGATGAACAACTGTGTTTTGAACCACTGCAGACTGAACTTATCTGGGAGCGTTCCCTTTCATGTGCTTCAGCAGATTGTCTGGAATGCAGCACACGTGTTTCCATCATCCACCTGGTCTGAGGGCACTTGCAGGCTTTCTCCTGTCCAACAGCTGTGCTAAGAGGGCTGGATCTTATTCACTACCAGCTCCTGGTGCCTGGACAGAGATCAGACTCTGCCATCCCTGTGCTCTCCGTAGGCGATGTTTTGAATCTTCTCTTGGCTGTGAATAAAATCAGGTGCCATCCCAAAATCAGAAATCAAGTGACAAAAAACTAGCACTGCAAAGCAAAACTTTCCATGAACTCTGCCACCCACCCACACATGCCCTCAAATGCCTGGGGATCAGCCTTCTCCAAAAGCCTTCTGGGCAGTCAGGAAGTTCCTACAAACTTTGGTGTGGCAGGAAAAACCCAGGAAACATCAGAGAGTGTCCTTTTTTTGATCTATGTGCCTTTAATTAACAGGAGATATCTCATAGCTTGCATCTTGGCTTATATCATTTCTTTGCAAAGCAAGGCACTTTTTAAGCAGTCAGACAGCTTAATTTTTTGAAGGTGCTGGAAGAAGTATAATAGAAGGGGTTTCTTCCCCTCTGATTTCTGTGTGAGGTCTCTGTGTGATGGACCTGAACAGAAAGGTTTAGTATTCCAGCTGAATTCCTTCCGAACAGCTCAGCAGATGGGGAGAGATACAAGATTTTCCATCTTTTATCTCAGCACAAAACTTTTCATCTGAATAGAGTCTCTTTAATGAGAAAGTCATTGTCCTCCAGTGAGCCGCTCATTTTTAGGATGACAGCAACTTGCATTTTCCACAGATGTTGCCTATTATGGTGCTTCCCATTCCTGTCATAAAGGGGAGACATGAAGGTACTTTGGATACACCGTGCCTCAGCTGCAGTCAGTCGGTGCCGTGCATTCACTGTCACACTCACTGTGCTTCCAGGCTCTGCTCTAGTGCAGCTGCAGTAAACTATTTGGGCAGGGCAGAGACAGAGAGCAGA